ATATGAACTTATGCATTTCAAAATGTGAACATAACATTTCAAAATATGAACGTAAGCATTGGTTCTCTTAAAGTGAATATAAGCATTTAAAAGGTGAACATATACGTAAAAACATATGAACATAAACATTTAAGAAAGACAACATATACATAAACATATTTTATTTATTTATATTATTTTATTTTTGAAGAAAAACAAATTTAATTAATATTTCATGAAAAACACATATTTACATTATGAATATTTGAAATTATATATGAACATATAAAATATTATTATGAATATAATGCATTTAATTATGAACATAAAAATGTGAAGAAATAAAAAATAATATGATTATGAAACACACACACACATATACATACTAGTTTTGTGCCCCGTGCGATGCCCGGGTTGTTTATGGACTTTTAAGATAAAGTGATATTATAATTTAATTGGATTGAAAATAGAATTCTAAATTAACTTTTTTTTGCTACAAAGTCTATCTATATTTATCCAACGTGGTACGACACTTAGTAAAAAGTTAAAACGCTATATGATATTGTCTTGTGGCCTAATTATAAATTTATTATTTGGTATTTTATTGAAAATAAAACTCTAAATTAACCATCTTATTCTAAAATTATATCCTAATTTGATTGAAAATGGAATTTTTAACTAACGTTTTTTTTTATCTTATGAAGTTTATTTAAATATATCCAAGGTGGCGCAACACTTGGCCAAAAGTTGGAATGCCAAGTGTCGCTATTTCGTGACCTGGCTAAAAGAAACATATTGAAGAAAAAAACATATGCATTATAAGTATTAAATGTTCATTTTTTTTACGTGTTCATTTTTTATTATTAAATGTTCATTTTTTTCATGTTAATATTTTTTACTAAATGTTCATTTTGTAGAGCGTAGTGTTGATTTTGGCGGATCGCAGATATGTTGTTTGGGTTATTAATTTGGGTCGTGCGTTTTGGGCCTTCCCTTGTTGTACCTATCTTAAGACCAATTGTTGATTTTTATACTGTTATTCTTAATTTATATACTGTTATTGAGAGGAGAGTGACTGCATTTTTACAACATGGGTAAGTAATACGTGAAATTATATTTTTGCTCCTAGTATGGGCCCAACGAGCCCATATCTGATAGTGGTCTATCACTACTCGTATTGCCCAAATTGAGTTTATCCAAGTGAACTCATATAGCGGGATAAAGAGATGGAAGAGAAAGATTTTTTTAACTAAATGGACTTGAACTCAAAGAGGGATTAACTCAAAGAAATTGAGTCTTACATATAATCTTAACAAAATGAACCTATTTGAAAGGTCCAACTCCTACATGAAAATGAACAGCCTTGAATAGACTTGCTTTGAAATTAGATGCATTGAAAACTTTAAAGTGTTTCACTCACAATCTATCTATATATTATACTAAAAGACAAGCGCCTCAATGTGAGGATGACAAATGTCACTCTCTTTGGCTTATCTTAAACATAAAATATATCTATATAATTACTGTTTACATGTTCAAGCATAGTTATTTTTGTTAAACTTCAAACAATAAAAGCAAGTTTCTATACATGTATAAGATTTTCATAATTTCTTAACATAAATATTGATTTAATTTTTTTATAATAAATATATACTTTCCAATACTACAAATAATCCATAAAGTCTTTCCAATCTTTATTTATAGTCAAATTAAAGAATAATAACTAATTTGAAGCAATATGATTAAAGTGGCATAATTAAGGAACCAAATATTTCGTATTTTGAAAGACTAATATTGTTTTTTTTATGAAAATTAAATTTATAGTCAAGTTAAAGAATAATAACTAATTTGAAGCAATATGATTAAAGTGGCATAATTAGGGAAATAAATATTTCGTATTTTGAAAGGCTAATATTTTTTTTTATGAAAATTAAATAAAATCGATAGAACTAAGTTTGACGTCAATTATGAAATCAATACAAACATTTAAAAAAAATCAGATGTACAATAAAATATTGTGCACCTATTATAAAAGCTACCCTGTAATGAATGAAAGTTACTTATGCTTTATTGATAAAAGTTACCCAAAATAGTCTACAAGTTATCCTAAATTGAATTCAAGTGATCGGTTGAATACAAAAGTTTTTGATAAAGATACAAAATAGTGTAAAAATTACTTTTATCGTTTGTTGTACACCTTGACAAATACTGAATGCTGAGCCGAAATGTTGTCTTGGAATAAAATACATAATCTTGAACAAAAATTTAATTTTAATCGGCCTTTCATTTTCTATACAATGTCTTTTACAATGACCTTTTTGTTTTTCTTGCATTAAAAAAAAAATCCTGAACCAATAACCAATCTAAACAAGAAGAATAAAAGTTAAATTGAATTAGACATTTGACAGAAAAAGGATAGATATAAAATGTATTATAACTATTACTCGTGTTTTAAATTGTAATATTCGTATTAACAGTGCTATTACTTATGAATTTTTTTTTTAGAAAAACTAACATTTTGATTTAAAAATAGTGCATTGCTCATGTACTATACCAGATATACAACAATCATGTGCAATAATTTATGTTGTTTTGTACATAATAATACTTTTAACTATAATAGTATGTGTATATAATATAATATTTTTTATAATATAAAAAAGTATATGTATATAGTATAATATTTTATAACACGTGTCCTCCATACCAAGTGTTTGTTTGTTGGTGTAGTGGTGATTGTGACTACACTTGGTAGGGAGGATCTGTGTTTGCTTCCCTGCAACAACAATCGGAAGGGGATTGGAACCTAATAGCCTAGAACAGATCCTCAAATCTGGATTAGCCCAAAGGGTGAAGCGGATAGAACACCCAAAACTCAAAGCATATATGACGGGAATTAACTTATCCAAAATCTATCTTATACAAAACTCCAAAGTCTAATTTTTTTTTCAAAATATAATAATAACATTTGTAAATTTTTGTTAATATGAAAGATATAAACCTATCAAAATGTATCTATAGTTAAATTGTTTAATAACTATATCGAATGCGTAGTTTTATTAAAATTATTTGCATGTAATCATTAAATGTGTTGGATGTTGTGTAGCTATGCAATGTCCAAAACTTTAGTTCAGTGACTTTGATTTAGTGATTGTACGGTAAAAAGATATTGACTTCGATCTTGAAACCTAATAGTCTAATAAATTCTAAATAGAAAAATTAAAACAAAAGAAAATGAAAATAGTAAATGGCTATAAATATTGAAATAAACATAACCTTTTAAATCAATTTAGCGAATTCAAGAGACAATTTTAAGGCTTCTAAAATCAAATGGGGGAAAATATATGTAAAAAGAACATTTTTAGATATATATAAATGTCCATGTACTATTATAAGAGTTTTCTTAACCATTTTATAATTAAGGTAGGGATAAATCTTAGTAATATATACTCTGTATATTTTATTTATATAAAATTATCAGTATCCATACCTATATATGAAGTATTTGTGTTGTATACTATATTTAATCAGTTGTTGGTTATATATATGACTATTACATAATATATAGTTTTTGGCACAATGCTTAACTTAGGAAAATATATGTTCTGGTAGGTCAAATATAAGGTTATTATTGTGTTTATAGATTAAATGAGTGCGACGGGTAAATAAAACATGTATATATTAGATGTAGTTACTGATGCGAATGGTATGATAAGTAAATTTTAGTTTTTTCTCAACGGGAGATATAAATAAATTAGTCCACTTCTTATATAGCTATGTGGAGTATTATTCAATTATTTTTCAATTAATAAAATAACATTATAAAAAATTAAAAGAAATTCAAATAACATAAAATACTATTCAAATAACGTTCCTTTAACTTTTTTTTTATTGACAATTAGTAACTAAGTCCTTTAATAGTAAATGAATTACCTTTTTTTTATTTTTATTTTTCCTACGGGTTTAATAATTTGATTTATAAATCGTGCATCGCACGGACACTATGCTAGTTAATAATAATAGACCTAAATGGATCCTGCTTGAACAATTAGATTGCACCCTGTTTAAACTTCATCAATCCATCCATAAAACTAACCACATATCCTCACAAAACAAGTGGCTTAATTTGGCAAAAAAGAGAAGCAGAAAAATTGAATCAAACAAATACTCTTTAAATTCAAGGACTTTCCAATTGACTTCGCAAGGGATGGAAGCACCAAGCCTAGCCAGAAGACGACGGACCTCAATGTGGTTGCACGTCACCTTGAGCATGGAGGGTAAGTAATAGTCCAACCTTTGTCCGACGTGAGCTTGACAGTTAGGTTAAGCTAGCAGCACTTGATGTCCGAAACCATAGAAGAGAAAGCAGTGCAAGCCATCATTTGAAACAACAGTGGAAGGTACCCAGGTGATAAGAATGTATTGCAGGACTATTGCAGAAAGCGAAAATTTGGTACTTAGGGACATTATGGTGTTTGTAGAACATTGAGACATCGGCTTCATTGTAGAGGATGCTTATAATTGGACTACAAAGCCAGAAGTGATACTGAAACCGTAATGTTGTGAAGGCAATGGTCATGGCGACCATGACCATTGCCGAATGTAGTATTGGGCTAATGGGCTGAAGTTAAAATTCAGAGGGTTATGTAAAGAAGATGGATGTGAAAATAACCAAGAAAACATTGCCATGTTTGTCATTGATGACACAAAACTTATCCAAAAGCGAAGATTGTCATCATCCATTGTTGAATAATGAGATTGAGGTTTTAGAGACAAATTTTGTGAGAATTTACTAATTTCTGAAGGACATTGGTAGAATGGTATAAATTACTAAATTAGGCTAATAACACACCTTAAGCTCAAGGTTCATGGTACAAATTAGATTACATACTGTAGAATTAGATTTAAACCCAAATATAGAAATATGGCACTAGTGTCTCATATTAAAAATTAACCACGTAAACAAATAAATAAAGAGCCAAGCAACAGGTAGTCACAATACCACCACCCATGAACTTAGATAAGAGAAACTTGTATGAAAATTTTTCATTAAAATGTATTTACAAGAGTAAAATTGTGAGTTCGATATTGACAAATCGATTCAACCAAATGGGTCTTTTGCTTTTCTTCCTAACTGTCCTACGAGCAGTATGTCTAGTCTACTATCTATACTGTTGATGAATCATGTTGTAAATTTGTAATGGATTTACAGTGCAAAAATTTAAATTTCAAGGTTATATTGAGATCAAGTGGGCTAAAAAATATAAGCAAGCAAGAAAAAGACATAAAACGGAAGAACCCCTTAGGAAAAATTGCTGTCCCTGCTACCTGCAACAACTTTGCGGTGACGCCTTGAACCAGACTTCCTATCTTTTCCACGCTTTGAAGGAATTTTCCTACCCACTTCTCTATTTATAGTTGGCGACATTCGTATAGCTGGTTCTCGATGTACTATGATTCTACGAGGTGGTGGAGGGGGCCGATTTTTTATAACTCCTCTATGGTATGCCTGCACATTGATTAATTTATAAAAATCAGCAAAAAATGAATTTGGATCCTAGTCATTCTTTAAAAATCAAACACATACTCTAGCATGTTAGTTGTTTTCAGGAAGAGATCCCAACATAATGCTTGGTTAAATTTGCATCAACACAAACCTTCCAAAAAAAATTGATGGTTTACCTTAACATTGTTTACTTATCATTATTTTTAAAAATTGGTAGGCAAGTATGATAGATAACACACTTCAGCAGCTCAACATATATCAATGCTTCCTACAGTGATCAGACTATGTTATATTATGATGAGATTACCTGTATCACAAAGTTCCGTCTTTCACAATCAAGAAACATGTAAATACTCCAGTTAACTTTCGACATTATTTTGTCACGAACAATAGAAAAGCTTAGCTGATCTCTAGAAGTAAAACGATCAACTTCATTGAACCACAAGCAGGTAAATAAGTTTGTAATTGGAATGTGCTCTCTAACGATCACACAACCCTCAGGAACATCTGCAGAAAATCAATCAATACATTGCTACTTAAAAATTGGTAGATAATTTTAATTAAAACAATGGATTCTCCAAACTAGAAAAAGAAGATGAAAGCAAGTTTGACTTACGCACCACTAGTAATAGGAAATTTTGTCTCAGTATATGGGGTCAAACCCTCATTACGATAAAAACTAATCTGCTCATCAATAGAGGCATTGTTATATTTTCCCCCGACTTTATTTGCCTCAGCTTCTACAAACACATCAAATCTTGTATAGTGCCTTGAAATGGCAAAGGTCGCATTCTCACGCCACAAGAACCTGATAATGCCATATATTAACTGAAAGCATGAGACGGTAAGATAGGCAAAGGATATTTAGACAAATCATATTCAGGTGATGGAAAAAGAAATGCACCCAGTTACTTTTGCATCATTTGTTGAGATAAATGCAGGTGCATAAAAAATATCTTTGGATGAGGGTTGGCAGATTTTAATTGTAAATAAATGAGCAAATTCCTGCTAGATTGCACAAAATAAATCATAAAAAGAATGATACACCTCCCCCCCCCCCTTTTCCCTCTCCCCAAACACACAAACCCTATCATATTTTAAACAACTCATTTAAGAGAGTTTAACCAAATTGACTCATCTATTTGTGTTAGAAGTAAGGGATGATAACTCAATATTCAGAAAGGTACTTATTGACCTGGTACCACTCTTCCACCTGTTATATCAGAAAACATCAACTTTCTTGAAATGAAAATGAAAAAAAAAAGAAAAAAAAAAAGAAAACTGACAAAATGCAACACTAAAAAAAAGAGGAAAAAGGTTGAGTTGATACAATGTCATTTATTCTTAAGCAAGTCATTCATGTAATTTGATTTACTATTGAGGATTGAATGCACCAAAGTCTGAAACTATGAAACCATTATAACTTCAGATAAAAACCAGCAAACTACACATCCTTGTTAATGCTTATTCTTTTTGTAGAAGGAAAGCTCTCAAGGATCTGCCATTCTGGAACATATTCCATCAACACAAGGTTTAAATTATTTAATGTTTCAGCACTCCAGATAGTCTTATAAGGCCATTTGCGTTCTTTTCACTTTTCATCTAAAGAAATCTTTCATGGGGATCTGCCTTTCTGGAACATATTCCATCAACAAAAGGGTTAAATTTATTCCCATTCTCAGCCACCAATCAATTGATGTTATTGCGATTCAGTAATTTGTCTCTCTCTATGAGATTAGCCTGATTAGTTGGTTATTTTGCTATATACCATAATATGTGGATATCCTTGACAATCAATTTTTATTTTTTTACATCAACGATAATTCATGGTTAAGATTGGGCCATAATATGGGTGCCAAAAAGATCCAAAGCCATAGGTAGAACAGGATCTAAAAATTTGTATTGATATTTTATATATGCTGCCTATCATACGGAGAGTGGTAGATTGTTTTTAGCAATTGTTGTCGGCATATTGTCAATAATAGCCTTCATTTCCAATACATAAAAAAATGAATAGCAAATTTTACACACCCTTATGATGAGGTTAACAAATACGTTTAGCATCAATGACAGCACAGGGAATACCATAAACTATTTGTCTACATGTTATCATCCAGAAAATGAAGTGGGCACAACGCACAAGTCTTTATTTGCGGATACGATTACCTTTCAAGAACTTGATAAGGATCCCGTACAAGCTTAAGTTTTCCATCAATCCATATTGAATATCGGACATTGGGAAAGAGTCTGTGCAATAAAAGCTTAGGAACCTGCAAAAAAAATATATCCATCATCAGCAAGAGTCTAAAATAATATAAATAAAATAGTCTACTACTTGTATTGCTCACCCTGCTCTGCGCAATACATGCCCCAGAAAGGGCAAGAAAAGGAAGGAGGGCATAAATTATTTTGACTAGAAGAAGAACAGCATACTATAGCTGAAGCAAGCAATTTGACTTGTAAAGATAGACATACTGAACATAAAATGGATGATCAACTAAGTGATCAAAATTGTGCAAACTTTAAAACAATGGAAACAAAATCAAAATCCTGCTCATAAATAGCACATCTCTGAAAACTTTTCTTGACATCAAATAATCAAAGGGAAAGTAATTTAAATCCTTCTAATATGGCCTAAGCTCCACTATCAAGAGCATGTATAATGGTATGCATTTACAATGGATATGGATAATTGTAAGAGAGTATCAAAAGGCTGGCTCTGCGGTCAATCAAAAGGTAATAATGTCTGCATATTATAAGACCTCACTTCAAGTACACAGCAGTAGCAATGGGTGAGGAAAGGAGAGCTAATTCATCCAAAAGTGTGAAACAGCAACTGTAAACAGTATGGACATATGAAATCCATAACAGTTTCATAAATTATCAGCAAAGATCCAAATGGCAAATGAAGTCCAGAACCTTGCCAGAGGAATTCTACCCAACGGAAATCTGACAGTATACTAAAACTCAGAGAGAGAGAGAGAGAGAGAAAGTCATAATGGAAGGTGTAACTGCCTCCCGTGCCAAACTTTCTTGTGCAACTGGTTTAATTAAATAAGTAATGTTAATTTACGTTAACTACTTCATATGCGGACTACAGTTAGTGTTTACCAAAATTTTACTAATATTTAAATTTAAAACAATTGACTACTCAAGATAAGTAGTTGAAAATGAGGTATTTGATTGTAAGGGATGGAGGAAGATTTTTGTAAATGACTATATGGAACAATTTCTATTGGTTCATGTAGCTGAGGTCCGACCCCACTTATGGGATTAAGGCTTTGATTGATTGGCTACTCAGGTTTAGTAAACTGCTAAACATGTGCACCTAAACGAAGACTGCACAAAAGGGTAGCAGTGAAATACTCATGGTAGTGATTTGGGCCAACACACTGTGCTATGCATCCCTTGTAGAAACCCCATCCCAGGACGTCAATTATCTATTTAACAAGCTCCCATTTTCCTGATTTTCTAATTGCTATAGATTTAACCATAGAAAGGAAATCATCAAGTTATCTCTCTTTCTTCCTGGTTTCTTTCTTAATTCAGGATTTCAGATTGAAAAATATGTGATAGAGAGCAATTAAAAGGGGCACAGAGAAAGCACTTAACTGAGCCTTAAGTAGCTGGAGAAGACTCCTCTAATGAGAATTTCAGACAAGATGTCATGTTCTATATGATTTGTTGGCCACACTTCACTTATTTGCTTCAGGTCATGTATAAGACTAGATGGAAGAAATGATTGAAAGAGGTAATTCACCAAGAGGTTATCATATTAGCTTTAGCTATGGTAAGCCAGCTTTTAAAAAGTTAGAATCCTATAGTTGACAAGCTGTGAAAAGATAAGTGGGTAATGCAAAAGGCTTATAATGTTGACAATACTCGAAAATCTATCACTGTTCTAAGGTTCATTTGCCAATTTAATGCTCTAGTGTTCTGCAAAATTGACAAGAATACACTGTCGCATGTTCTACCTTTCCATTGCGCCTTGCATCAGTGTATGGAACATTACGGACAACAATAATTCTCCAAAGGCCCACCATCTTGCTGCTATCTAAGATACTCTTATTTCTCATGTAATTTTCAGTTTCCTCATCAATAAACATATAAAATGGAACACGCTTCTTTGCAATCTCGCTAATATTTACTGGTTCTTGTATAATGTCATAGTTTCCTACATAAGACCACAAATTTCAAAGGAAAGTCAGAATAATACACACAGTTTTTACAAATCGTGGAGATGTAGATATGTACCAAATATTGCAGATGCAACTATGACATCATGATACTTGTCCAGCTCAGGAAGATCTTCTTCGTCAATATCAAATCCACCTCCACGACCAGGCCTACTACTGTTAACAAACCTGTAACAGAACACATCATCATACAAAAAGCAAAACTGTCATCTAATCTAAATTTAATACTTAAGCGACACCAAAACAGCAACATCAGTTATCTGTGTTTGTCGCCAATTGAAAGACTACTTTCTTCTACATTAGAATTTGAGTTCTATAAATGATCCATAATGGCCAGTACTCACCCACAGTGTACAGTCATTGACTCTGTTATGTCAAAAGAGTCATTCCTCTGCTTCAAAGAACGGTATCCACCAAAGTCTGAACCTCGATGAGTTTCACTTTTAGTAGAGTTCTCCCCTTGCACAAAAGTCAAATGTTGAAGCACTGGAGATGCCGATGGTAAACTTGGCATACTTGCTTCAGCTTGCTTGTTTGATAGATAACATACTGGACAAGCTAGTACATTTAAAAGGAGAAGTAACATTAACCACGGACCAACATCAAAAAAAATTTAAAAAAAAAAATGACAATTGAGAATTCAATGGGGAAGAATTCTTTCGGTACATATAATTAATTTCCGTTTTTTAAAAACTATAAATTTTAATTAAATTCAAATTTCATCAATCGCTGATATATAAATAAAATAAAATAAAACAATTAAAAACTTTGTGCTTTTGCCAAATTTGCAGTGATTTTTCTATCTCAATTCACAACTTTAAGTGTAAAGAGAAAAATTTCATAACTTGTTGAATGTAATCAATCATACATATGGGCTATATGGACCAGAAAGGTTTGATCAATATATGGTCAATCAAAACTGAGAAACTCAATCTAACTTCTATGCAAAAATCAGAGGTAATAGACAATAGATTTATGAGCCTTACGTCTTGGCCCGATCCGTTTAGTGCTATGTGGAGGAGGAGGGGGAAAAGTGAAGTTTTTGCATGGATGAAGCCCAGGATCTATGATAAACGCAAGAGATTTTCCACTGTTCCTATTCCCAGTAATTTGTAATGTTGAGTTGTCTCCATCCTTCGTAAGATTCTTTGATGTAGGAGTTGAAGATAGGGAACTAATAACACTTATTCCACGAACTTTTGTCTCTTGAAGAGCTTCAAGAAAACCTCTATGGTTGCTACCACTCGTTTCTACACATAGAACATCAAAAGGTTACACCAATGCTAAACACACAATGTAATGCCATAATTATCTTGAATTCTTGATTGCATCAGATAAAATATTTTGTCCTAAAATCAAGAACTTCAAATAGACCAGCACAGAAAAGTCACAGGGGAAAAAGAGAAAGAGATACAGAAGCCAGAAAACTATCATGTATAAAATGCTCAATAATAATTTCATCTTCAATCCTTCTAAAGTATAATACTACTAAGGGCATGCTTGGATTGGGGGGTAATATATAAAGGGGCAATAAAAGTCAAACTCGAAAAAACACAAGTAATTAGAGGTGGTGTTGTAGGAGGTATGGTATTTACAAATGACATAAGGTAGTTGTTCCATGAGAGAAATGGAGGAATTATTACCCTCATAGTGAGGGTAATAGTTACACACCTTCCCCTAGTGTAGCTATTACCCCAAAATGAGCCTCTTTCTTCACTTTACACCTCACCATCACTACATAATTTTTCTTACAAGCACCACCATCACTATCTCCTCCTTCTCTATCTACTTTCATTTTGCTTAGTTTAACTTTTATTACCCTAGTAATACATTTCCCTCAGTCTAAGCATGCCCTAATAAGAACATAGTAACTGTATTCTAGCAACTTAAAAACAAAAACTTTTCAATCATCTGTAAAATATTACAGTAGACAGCTTGTGTACTGTATAAGAGATCATACAATGGGGCCAAACACAAGTCGCTAAATAGCACGATTACTGAAGGATAATTCAGCAAAATAAAGCAGAATTTAACAAACCTTTGTTAACTGTGAAGAAGCCTGAAGCAAAAATCAGCAGGGCAAAGACAAACAGTATCACCATTCCAACTTTTCCTCGGCACAAGTATCTACAAACAAATGGGATGCACCTTTCCCTTTCCTTTTCCCGGTAACTTGAAAGTTGCACTTTCGATGACTTCCGTGGGAAGACATAGGAGGTATGATTCTGCAATACGCCATTTGATTGCTGTAAATGCAGTGATCCATTACTTCCGGTACGTAATCCCAATGACTTAGTGGTCATTGTATCTTCAAACCCACAAATTGACCTCTCATTGCCTTATTCCCCAGTACCCCTTCTCACATCAATGAAAAACACTAACTCCCCTATGCAAATTTTGCTATGCCTTCGACTTTTCGATAGTTCACCAACTTATTCACTCCAAAATCAATCCCAAACAACAATGCAATTCAATAATCTGAACCAAAACAAATCAATCCAACAACATCAAAAAAATCTTGCATTTTACACAACCCGATACATTCATCAAATCAACAATTCAAATTAAAGATAGAATATCACTTACCAAACAATAAATCAATAAGTCAACAATGTAATTCCAAGCGCAAATTTAATCAGTAATCTGAATCACAAAACATTAATCGATTTCAGTAATTAACGCTGAATTTTCATACCAATGCTGCAATGCATCAAAATTTTCAAAAGAAACTACAGATTGAGTAACAATGCTAAAAATCACAACAATCAAAAATTCATAAAATTGCGACATTACCTCAAAATTAGCAGAATTATGAGCAAATCGCTCAATCAGTAGTAGAAGCAGGGATATTCGGAAGATTAGATTATCTAATTCGGCAAAAAATAAAATCAAAATGAATTCTAGGGTTCTTGCAAAAAGGATCGAAATAATAGGGTTTTTTTTTTTTTTATTGGGGGTGAAAATGATAAGAATGGTGAAGAAAGATTAGTATAGAATTTGGATAGGATTAAAACCAAAATTTTATAGGCGTGATATTCTAAACAGGTATGTCAGGGAATAATTTCATTTAATATTATAATTAATGTGTTTTGATTATGTTATCTTTTGTTTCAGGGAAGTTTTAATTAATATCTTAATGATAATGATGATATGAAATTATCATATGATATGTCATTTACTGTTTTATTTTCCACTCTCTGCATTTCCCATACATGTTCAACGGCTCTTATATGGTAGATCCAGGCCGGTACCATGTCACTAGAGATGGGCAGGCAGGCCGCAGGCGGGGCGGGGCGGGTGCAAAAACCCCCACCTAAATTTACTCCTTCCGATTTGTATATTTGTACGCTTTGACTGGCATGTATAATAATGTACGGAGTATAAATTTGATCATTAATAATTAATGTAAAAATAAAAGTATAGTTAAAGTAAACATTTTAATTTTGCAAAAGTCAAATGGTTGCGATTATTACAAAATAGATGTAACAACCTATCCTAAGCAAATTGAATAACCACACCAACTTAATACTCAAATTACTTGTCCTAAATTTCCCTTAAAGGCTTGAAGTCAAATTAAATTTGAATATCAAACACATATAATTAAATAGGAGCAAAAGTAGATTATAAAAATATAATCGCATTTTATTTTATTTTTTCTTAAATAATCTATTAAATTTTACATTATTAAAAATTATTTTATGAACATGAGATAAATGGAATATAATATATAAAAATGGACTTTGAGTTGAACTTAAAAGGGCATGTACCGTCATTGACAAGAGCGTTGAGCATCTTTTCCATCATATCACCAGCGCTCATTAAGCCATCAAAATTTCATTCCAATCATCTAGTGGCGGATCTTGGCAAAAAATATTAGAGGGGTCGGGGATTTAAAAAGTTTACCTCTTGCTCAAAACTAATCTTTGTACCCTAATATTTTAAGTTCATTGACTAATTAATTACAATAATTTACGGGGGGTCTGGCTCCTAATGGCTCCGGTGGAAGGTCCCCCTCTGCAATCATCGATCCCATACCCCCATTCATATGAATTGGCTAGTGGCTCACTAAAATAACCCAATTACATGCATCTCTAATGTTTGCGCATGCACTAAAAGTTTGTGCGCATATTTTTTTTGTAAATGATGTCAAATATGAGCCCAGAGTGCACAAATTTGGGTATATGGTGTGTGGAGATAATACTATTGGGTTTGAGAAGTGTAGACAATGATTTAAGGCATGAGCAAAAGGGCATGGAAAGAGAGGGTGTTGCGCACGAAGGAGAATACGCACACGCACAGTTGCGCACAAGACGTTCATCTTGTATTCATTCATCTTCAAGGTTTTGTAAAGTCATTCATATTTTTTTTGTAAAATCTCTCGTCATGACTATGCGTGTTGCGCACGAAGGAGAAAAGTCTCGCATGTATATATATACGCATGTTATTTCATTATTAGGTCATGACGAGAGATTGATATTGACAGAGAAATAGCCTCTTGTACATAATTGCTCATACGTACTTTTAGGGTTTAAGATAAAGAGAGGATTGAGAATTTGAGAGGTGCAAACTTTCAAGTTGTGTTAGATCATATCTTGCTTCATTCATCTTCAAGGTTTTACTACATAGTGGAAGGATTAATTGGTGAAATTTTTCTCCCACCACTTAGGTAATAAATAAATTATATGGAGAAAAAAAAATTGATTTTATGAAAATGTTGTTGTGAAGTATCCAACAATATATATCTCCCATGAATGTACATATCAATGATATTTTTTCTTAAGTTTTTAAATATTTAACCACGAAAAAACAAATAAACTAACACTATATGATGGGATTGAGGGAGTATAATCAGTGTCTAAAAACTTTGAAATACTTCTATATGAAACAGAACTTTAAATCTTTAATACTCCCTCCGTCCCTAAATTATATTCCTACTTCTCTCTATTATGTGAGGAATAAATGCTAGAAGTAGGAATGTAATTTAGGGACGGAAGGAGTACAAGTATACATTCTTTGAGATATTTTAGCTTGGCTTATGTGTCAATGAATACTATCAAGAATTCATAAATTTCCATTAATCATGCAATTGCAAAAATTATGCATGCATGGTAATTATTAGATGAGAAGCCGTCCAAGCCGATATTTAACATTCAATATATAATAGATAAAAAGTTCATCATTCATATATAATTTTTAGTACAAAGAACAAGAGTAGTACTAGTACATCATAACTCATTAATTAGACACATCGATCATAAGCTGATGATATGCCATTTTATTATTTTACTACAAACTCCTGCATGCATGGATCAGATAGCTTAGCTAGGGATCGGACTATATATCGGAGTACTCAGATTTCGAATTCCTCTTCGCTTACTTGCTCGATCATCCTGTGTCACCAAAGCCAAGCAACATTAATTAATTAGCAAAATTAACATAATTAATTATTACTCCGTAGTATCAATCTAATCGCTCAAAAAAGTTATGGGGTCGTACATGCCTCTGATACCCTAATCTCATATGATGTAGGAGATGTTTAATTAGACTAGGCAAAATAAATCCGTACATAAAAATCTAAATTTTCTACACAACTCTGATATATATATTTGAAATTTATAAAAACAGAATTTTGACCAAATTGAACTAGACATCTTCATATGAGACTTCACTTGACTAAGGACTTGTTCTCATACGTTTGTTTTCACTTCAGTTCAGTTCAGTTCAGTTCAGCTCTTAATTTCCTTCTCTTATAAAATATTCAGTTCATTTCAGTTTAGTTCAGCTCAGCTCAGTTTAGTTCAGTTCAGCTCTTAATTTCCTTCTCTTATAAAATATTCAGTTCAGCTCAGCTCATCAGTTTAGTTCAGTTCAGTTTAGCTGATTTCAGTCTATTAGAACAGGCCCTAAGTATCCAATCTACTATAATAAACCGTTTTTAGATACGAGACCAAAAAATAATGGACTTAAATACTAAACCTTAATCAGGTTAACCTATTTGTAACCTCTAATATTGACACTTATATTTTAATCCATAAGAAAAAAAAGTTTGTTAATATAAATACAGTACAAAAATCTTAATTACCATATTAATCACTGTCACTGCCACTGCTGTCACCACCATGATGTCCAAAGTGGTGTTTCTTGCTCTTCTTCTTGTAACCTATCCCATGGTGTCCACTTCCATGGTTCATGAAACCTTGAGCCATGCCGCCTAACCCGGCACCGTGACCATAATACGGGGTGGCGTGGTGGTTGTTATGATGACCATGATGGGCATCATGGCCATAATATGGGACGGCGGTAGCGTGGTGGCTGTCATAGCCATGATGGCCTCCACCATGGCTGTAATACGGGACAGTGTGTTGGTTGTGGTGGTTGTTAGTATGGTATACGCCGCCTTGCTGGTGGTTGTAGTGGTCAGTTTGACCAGGGTAATAGGGATATGAGTTCATTGCTAGTAGTACACTTAAGTTGTCTAGTATAGAAGATAAGTTGTTATGCACTTGTAAGTTGTAACAAAGGAGTTTCGCACTCTTATATAGGAGTTTGATAGTGGGGGAGAAGGCGAACATATACTCCATAATTTTTTTGTTGAGAGAACTTATACTCTGAATTATTTTTCTCCCATCAATTCTACTTTCTTTATTATTATTATTATTATAAAATAAAAACCAACAAAATTAATTGATTTACAAGAAATTAGTAGAGAGTCGAGATACAATTTGGGCCCTCACTCCTCTAATTATAGTAAATTCGATCCCGCCGAATATGTGAGCAGTTGCACAAGTACCTATAGAAAATTAGTGGAAAGCGGAGATAGAACCTATAGATTATATTATTATTATTATTATTATTAGTCTACTACCACTTTATTCTCTCCCCTTGACTAATACGAATCTAATGAAATCTCATTTGATAATGTTTCATCTAAAAGATTATTGATTTATTGTACAATTAAATTCATACTCTCTAGTCAAATGTTATTGTACAAATAAGTCATAATCTAGTCAAACTAGAAAATTTGATCAATCTAGTCCAAATTAGATGTTGATGTTTAAAGGTTTTGATGATGAGGAACTTAAGTTACAACAAACTAATATCATAAAGACTTTTCAAGTGTTTGTTTAGCCTAGGTGAAATTGATCTTGGAGATGGAAGAAGTAACTGAAGCTGATAAGACTTGAAGGAGTTCTTTATCAAGAAAGTTATTCAATATAAAAGAAGAGTTCCCTAACAGGAGCTAAGTTCCCTCACAGGAACGTTCCTTTACAGGAACTTGAAAATTGCTGACTAAGGTCTTTGGAGGAACTTAGTAACACTACTAAAATTCGGCCATTTTGCGACCGTTTTTCTACGACCGTCATGGAAACGGTCGCAAAAAATGATATTTGCGACCGTTTTTAAAGCGGTCGCAAATTTGCGACCATTTTTAAAGCGGTTGCAAATTTGCAACCGTTTTTGGGTTATAAAACGGTCGCAAAGGTATTTTAATATATTTTAAAAATAAAATACATATGAAAAATAATTCAAAATTAAATTAATTTGGTTGCGACCGTTAGTAGCGGTCGCAAAATGCACCAATTACGACCGTTTCTCAAACGGTCGCAAAATTACGACCGCTATTACCGGTCGCAAAGATGCTTTTTTATTTTATTTTAAAAAAAAGGTATAAAAAGGTCCACTCCTAACCCTAATCAGTTGATAGCCGCTCACTCTCTCTTTCCTCTCTCTCCTCACGCCTTTCTCCTCTCTCTTTCCTCCTCTCTTCTTCTCCTCTTTCCTTTATGCTCCATTAACCGGCGTTTGCATCACCATTTCCTCCATATTTGTTATCTTTTTCTACATTATTTTCGATTTCGAATTTTTGCAACAAACAATTTGGGTGTTCGGATTTTCGTTTACAACTGAATAATTTTGGTGTTCATAGTCGAATTCGACCATGAAAATTCCAGATCTGGAGTTTTCATGGTCGAATTTGACCATAAAAACCCAAAGAGGATGAAATATTTGTTAAGGTATGTTGATTTCTCTGGAAATTTTGGGTTTTTTTTTTCGAATTTCCATGTTTGGTTTTGTTTGATTTTCGTTAAATTTAGTTATCATTCATTTTTATGATTTTTATTTTGTTTTTGTTTGAATCGGTAGTTTAGAATGCTTTTCGTTAGTTTTTGTTTGATTTATAATGATTAAGTTTTGTTCATTTTGGTTTTGATGTTCATGATAAATTTGTTTAATTTTTGTGATTTTGATTCATTCGTTTTTTTTTGTTAAATTCGTTAATTTTTTTTTTCCTTATTTTGATTTTTTTTATAATTTTTGTTTATTTTAAATTTTGAATTTGATATTCATATGAATTTTTGGTTTTATGTTTAATTTTACAATTTTTTCGGTTTAGTTTTGTGGGTCTTTTTTGTTATATATTTATTTTTGTGGGTAAAAATTTGGGTGGCTGGTGCCTGGTGGTGGTGGGTGGAGTTGGTTCGTTTGGGTAGGATTTTTTGGTGGGGGCTGGGTGGAATATGCAGACAGTTGGTGGTGGTGGGTGGAGTTCTCTTGGGTGGGACCTAACGGTGGTGGAGTTGGTTTGGGGGGAGTGGTGGTGACGCTGCTGCCTGAGAAGTACTGGCAGTGATTGACTTTTTTTTTGTTTTTTTTAAAACTTTTAGCGACCGCCATAAGCCGTCGCTAAATTCAAGATTTGCGATCGGTACATATGGCAGTCGCAATTCTAAGTATTTGCGACCGTTTATAGGTTGGTCGTTGAAAATAGTAAAAACGGTCGCAAAAAATCTGCGACCGTCAAACAGTCGCAATATTGTTTTTTTGCGACCAGGAGAATAACGACCACCATGTTACGACCGTTGACGGTTGCAATTATGTTTTGCGACCGTTTTTGCTATTTTCAGCGACCGTTTGAGGCGGTCGCAATTTCGCCGAATTTTAGTAGTGTAAGCGTGGAGCCCAAGTAAACCTACCAGAACAAGAGCGCAGCGCAGCAATGTTTTAGTTAAGATTTTATCTTCTAGATTCATTGTTAAATATGTTAAGTAGGATATGCATGAAATTTATTAGAAGCGTGACAATTAGCTTGGAAAATAAATTAAAATCGGAAAAGATAAAAGATAGAAATAGAAAAAGATTTTCTTTAAATATTTATCTTTTAAAATCAGTTTGTTAAAAAGATATTATGCTTTTTAACTCAATATTTCTATCTTATTTTCTGAAAAGATTTTCTTCAAAAGATTTACTTAAAAACCGTGTTTTAAGATAAGTTAAGTTTTGCTTATTTATTTTTATGAAAACCTACTTTCTATACAAGTAATACTTGTATAAATAGTAGAGAATAATAGGAGTTTAGGTTTTTGTGAGTTTTATGCGTTGAGAATTTACAGAGCTACAATCGTGTAAGTTTGCCAAGCTTTTCACATTGTCATATTAGTTTCGGGTTTCTTGCATAGCTTGCCTATCATATACTAGGTGTTTGTACTTGTAATTGGTTGGGGTTATTTGGGTGAAAGAGTATTTTTATTATTGAATACAGTGAGAGAGCTTCTAGTGAGAAGGGGAAGATTTGTACTTTGGGAGTACGAGTGAGTTTGAGTGTGGGACTCAAACTGGGTAGAACAAGGTGTTGTTCTATAGCAAGTTTATTCAGTAACTTGTGAGTAGAGGCTTAATTATAATAGGTTGTAACTTGGTATTTGCCCTATTATAGTGGAGATATTTGTGTTTGAAATCCCTAAGGTAGGGTCGAGGTTTTACTTCTAGTTGGGCACTAGAAGGTTTCCTCGTAAAATCCTGTGTGCTTTGCTAGTTCCTATTCTGTCATGTTTTATATTTGCAAAATTAGTAATTAGGAACTTAACTACAATTCACCCCCCCTCTTATAGTGTTCATCTCAACTAACATTAGAGGACATTGTAAAAATTTCTTCATCGATCAACTCTATTTCACAAATAAAATTTTCAGTAAACTTTATGCAAACCCATATTACGATTAATTAAAAGTGAATGGACAGAAAGGAGTAACGTTGTGAGATTGATGTGAACAAGGGACTGTCTATTTTAAATAATGACTCACTAATAATTCACTATTATTGAAAGTCCGCCTCACCTGAAATTGATGGTGTGACATCTTAGTTTTGAGTTAAAAATGGTATATATTCTGAACTTATCTTTACTACTCAGAAAATCTGACCTTCCTGAAATTCCTCTCAAGCAAATTTGTCATAGCTAGTGGACAATTCAATTGAATTTGGGAATCGTATATTGCATATTGATATTAATGATATATGCTGCCTTTGGTTAAAGTGACATTACGCGATCATAGTTACCCAAAGAGTCCCAATTCTTCATAGTAGTGAAACATTTGGAAAGGAAGAATCAATAAAAGAAATAATAAAAGGTCCAACAGATTTATCAGAGGCAGATGGAATCGAATTTGATGCAATGATAATGTATTTTTTCAAGTTTAGTGGAATAGACATGTTTAACAGAATAATAGTGCTACCCTAGCAAAAGTGACTTATACAGCTTAGAGGTGGGCATGCCGGCCCATGGGCGGCACGGGCCCGACACGAGATTGGCCCAGTACGTCACAAGCCCGCCAGTGGCACGGTCACCAAGGAATGGGCCATGGATCATGTCGTGAACACAATTTTAAGAATCCGGCACGAGCATGGTGAACCCGCGGGCGGCATGGTAGTTTGGCCTGCCAGCACAACACGCCAGACATGGCCAAGAAATAACGTAAATAATAATAAAGAATTATAATAATAAAAATAAGAATAATAAAAAGAATAATAATTATTAAAAAAAAACATAAACATAAATTAATAAATTTTTTATTTAAATAGTATATCCATATTAAAAGTTGTTCAAAAAAAATTTTAAAAAATAAAGAATATTATGGACGACTCGGTATCCGGCATGACACGACACGCCAGGCACGTGGGCCGGGATGTGCTAAATGGTGTTTCGGCACGGCACGACACGCCAAAATGCAGGCACGGTACGAGCCACCACCAAGCGGCAAGTACGGCTTGCGACGGCCCAAAACGACACGTTGCCCACCTCCACTCATACTCAATTATTCTACATACCCGAAATATATCTTAATTGAAACCCATAATCGACCTAAAATTACTTGACCCAATTTGAACTGATCCAAATCAACCTGATCTGCATATTTTGACACGTGTACCATGTTAATGGTGCATCCGTGTTCATTATTCAGGCTGAACTCGATCTATGGTATTCTTTAGGATGAATTATATTATTTGTTCTTTTACATTATATTCTTTTCAATAATATGGACATATTATTAGATTAGGGAGCGTTACAATTTCAAATGGATTGGATATTGATGACTCAATCCACCTGATTTAGTAATCCGCTTTAAGATAAAGGTTAGGTGAAAGATGAAGCGGGTGACAGATGGTTTGGGTTCTGGTGGAGCTCTGCTTCCCTTCCTCTATTTTTGGAATTTTTTTAAATGGTTAGGAGGACCTTGATATACTTGAGACTTTGAGAGTACAAGGGAGGATAAGAAAATCTTTACCTCTTTGTCAAAAAAAAAAAAACTTTACGTTCAAGTGCACTCACTTAGTAGGATTCAAACCCTATATATCTCTAGGATTTGAGGTAAGAACCTTATCAAGTGAGCCAATACTTTGTTAGTCTATTTTTCTGCTTGAACAGATTTGAGGTACGAAGTATATATGATTTACAAAAGTCCTTATTTCTCGATCTACATGACTTTCTCCATTATTCTTAGCACTTATTATAAGTTTCATCTTCTTTTGGAGTTACAGACTGGTTTATGTTCATGGCTTGTGTAGTTGTGTGAGGCGTGTAACATTTTTTTTGGGAAAATGCATGCACAACTGAGAATCCTGTTTTTGTATAACTCTTAAATTGTTGAAAGTTCAATTGAGTGAATTGATTCTGAAGAATATATTTTCCAATCTCTCTATATATATAATCAATGGAAAACTCATGTCCACCCAATTTAAAATTCAATCAATATAGAGAGACTAGAAACTTTAAATTGCTATGATAAATTAATTTATATATGATTCTCTCTACCAATTCAAGATCACATATAATGTTAATTTTAAATTGAAAGTAATGATAAGCCAAATTGCTATGATAAATTAATTTATACATGATTCTCTCTACCAATTCAAGATCACATATAATGGTAATTTTAAATTGAAAGAAATGAATAAGCCTAAAATAAGAATATGTACCATTAAGCCCATTATGAAATAATTGATAAAATATTGTATATTGAAAGCAAAAGAAAAATACCCATCAACAAAGAACACCTATAAAATTAATGTTAATACTTCTCTTATAGCATAAACTAGCAAAAAAATCCTACATCAATTACAAAAAAAGAAAAAATGGCTACAATGCAATTGTGTAAGCCTGCTCAAGTTAGTTGTGATCAAACTAAAAATCCGAAAACCGGGCAAAACAATGAGAAAAAACTTCACTTCCACTTCTGGCAGAAGCATGGGAATGAAAAGAAAAATGAGCAAGCAACTAACAAGCATCAAAACGATGTTGGACACCCTAATTACAAGCATGTAACATTTGAGCATAAAAATGAACATGGGCAAGCCGCCAACAAGCTGTGCCAGGATGTTGGCGGACACCCTAAGAAAGGGAATACTGAGGTCAAAGTTGTGCATGGGCAAGCGCAAGGTCAAGTTGCTAATAACAAGCACCAGCACGAGGTGACTATTACAAGTAACCCTAGGGGTCACAAGTTAAGGCAGTGCTTCGGCCATGGGGCCGCCGGCCTTGCAGATTCGGACGTTGATGAGGAAACTGAAACAATTGTTATTGAGAGGAAAATAAAAGAAAGAGTGGTAATTAGCCATGTTAGGAAGTGTCATGACCACAAGGAAGGAGCCAAGCATTTAGACGTATGATTTATAATTCAACTCCTCTTTTTTTTTTTTTTTTTTTTTCTGCTTTAATTTAAATAAGTTTATAGTAAAAAAAAAAAAAAGAATACAAATATGAAATTTCTAACAATTGTATTTGTTGTATTGTTACATGCATGCAGAGATGCTAATTTATGGAAGATTGGAAGGAGTTGCTGACTTGCTGTGGATTAAAAACATGCTGATCTAAGTATTATTAATGAGTGAAAGTTTGTACTTTTTTATCTAATGAATTTGTTTGCACTATATTTGTAATTTTATCTTTTCAATACAAAATAAATACTCGAATATGATTTAGATATTTAAGATATTATGATTTGATTCAAATTAATTTTTTTTTACAAGAGAAAATGTAATTATTGCGAAATTGATGGAAATAAGTCATTGTAAAAGGAAATAAAAACACAGTACATAAATTTGGGTCAAATTATTGAGAATTTGAGACAAATAAAAATCAACATATTGTCTCATAAAAAAAAAAAAAAAAAAAAAGGATGTGGATTCCAATTAGTTGAGTAGGTTAAGGCTTTGGAGGCGAAACCCTTGTATCGAATTTGCGGGTTAATATCGCCATTTGTGACTCTCTTTACACGATGAGAAAGATAGATGCAATAAGAACATGATGATTGCCCTGACACTTAACATTGCACTAAACATAATGATTCTCGATATTGTGCACACAAATAGGGAATAGATGCAACATGAGACATGATCGACTTTGGTTGGATTCCTCCAAAAACATCCCAAAAATTAAAAGTAATTTTTTCTCAGTACGTGACCGGTTGCTCATGAACGCAATATAACACATATTACATACGTAGTATAGTGCAACAAACAGTTCTACTAGTAATACAAAGTTGTGTTTATTCGATCTTAGGAAAGTAAAACTTGTACATAGATTTCTGGTTACACATTACATTACATATTACACACAAATCATCACACATCATACAAGTCATAAGTAGTAAACAAACTGCCGATTTTCCAGTCCAGGACTTCAGTCACACCTCTGCATAAACCAAATATGCACAATAAATTTAATAAATACAAAATAAACTTCAAAATTTCTTCCAAAATAATTCAATCTTAAAAACTCTTAGATAAAATAAAAATACAGACCTTCCTAGGCTCACAGCGTTCATGATCACTGTCACTGTCGCTGCTGCTGCTGCTGCTACCATCATGGCAACGCCCCTCTCGGTTCTTCTTCTTCTTGTGGAACATCCCGGTGATCTTACCGATTATCCCCTGCTCATGATGATGCTGGTTATGCTTTGGCGCGCCTGCAGCCACAACATCCTCATGCTTATAAACCGCGCTATATTCAGACACACCATGTTGGTTAATTTTGGCCTGTTCAGTACCATAGTAGGAGTTTTTGTCATATACTACTGGTCTACAAGAGGCCATTTCGAATTAAACTAGTTTAATTTTGGTTATTTATTTTCTATATTATAGGCTTATTGTTTGATGCTAAGAAAATTCAATTTAAGGGGCATTATATAGAAATGCAGGATTTGGTAGGTTTACATATAACATAATCTAGAAATTTATTACTAAGCAAAAAAAAAAATTAAAAAAAATTGTCAGCATATATTCTGCCTTAGTATGCCTTTTGTTGATGGAATTTAGCTATATATCACATCTGGAAGGTCTTAAAGTTGTTCGAATTCGGGTAATTTTTTTGTGAATGAAATAATCAGTACTATATGTAACAGACTCTAAGCAATAACCAAAGGGTTGGCGTTGAGGACTTGAGGGTATGCAATCCAAGTTATTACACGTGCACACTCCGATCCATTAAAGACCTTTTGAAAAGGAGCCCAAAAACAACTCTGTGTGGGCTAAGCTGATAATATTTTACTAATATTGTGTGTGCAGCTCATATCAACAAGGTGGGTGGATGACTCGGGTCCAACATACATCACTTGAACAACACTAAATTACATCCAATTTAATTTACTACTAGGGTAGTTTATGCTTGATATCAACCCTATAATATATTGAAATAAATCTAGGGTCTGTTCTGATTAACTGAACTGAGCTCAATTGAACTGACCTGAACTAAACTTATTGAAGCTGAACTGAACTGAACTGAACTGAATATTTTATGAGAGAAAAAAATTAATAACTGAAATGAACTAAACTGAAAATAAGCTGAACAGGACAGACCCTAATATAAGTATTGCCTTCTTTTCTAATTTTTTTGGTAAGAAGGACCCTCGTTGGAGTATCACCATTTAACCAGTTAGTTACGTAGGCAATTAAGATTTAAGAATTGAGGTGAAAGTAAGGGAATCCCCATACGGCCATACCCCAAGCATATATATGATTCAATCCCTATACGCTTTCCTCATTTGTATGTAACAAGTTTGAGACCAAAGACAACTAATTTAATGCCAAAAACACACTAGAAAACTTCACATGTTATAATAGATATCACAAAGTCGATCCCTCCAAATTCTGCCTGTATTGTGTTTATTAGTCAAAATACGCGACCCAAGCATCATCCTTGTGTTTAAATCTGCTTGTTAGAGAGGTAGAATCCATTGTAAGTAGGCCATATTACCATGTTCCTTGCTTCTTCACGTTCTTCAATTATCATCTCACTTGTGTGGTTAGTTATGCATTTCTTTGTTCGTGTACAGTTCATTTTTTTTTTTTTTTTTATCGTGCGTGCCAATATCAGCTCATACCTTCTCTGTTGGCGGTAATATGTCACTACTTTAGATTAAGGAAGGTATCGATGGAGAGGGGCCAAGGGGATAGAATTTGCTATATACACTGAGGTAAGTCGTACACTAATCTAACCCAAGTTAGTTTTTTGCTCTTTATTTAATGATTAAATAAAAAACAATTATCAAAATGAGAACAAAATACTCATAGACGTACGGGGCATCCGGTGTATATTACAATCTCTCTTGAGGAGATACATATATTTTCTAATATTTATAAATTGTAACTATTGGAAAAAGGTTTTTCAATATCACTATTGCATTGAATAAGAGTATCCGTAGTAATCTATTAAATTATGATATATTACTCCATTTTTTTTAGTTGACATGGTTTGACTTTAGCACTATTTACATACTCCCTTTTGACAGTGTTTTATGGTTTATATATAATGAAAAATATAGTCAAGTGGGATCTTGTTAGATTCGTCATGATATATATTTGGAAAAATTAGAAATAATAATCCCAACTTTTATCAATTTTAATTTGGTACAATAATCCCAACTTTGGATTATTCTGGAATAATCCGAACTTTAGGGGGTCCTCTTTTTCTTTAATCCCAAACCGGTCAACAAAAGTCAATGACCTATAATATCAGGTCACTTGACACGTGTCAAATCCTGATTGGTCCAAAAAAATTTCAAAAAAAAAAAAAACGGAAAACTACCCAGCTACCCCTTCCCCCATCGATCCACCGTACCCTAATTTAACCTCCACCACCACATCCCAGCACGCCACCCCACCATACACCCTAACCTCCACCACCATAGTCCATCCCGACACATCTCCTCCACCCCTTGAGTCGCTGTTTTTCCCTCTCCCCGAAACCCCACGCAACCACCGAAATCACAAACCACCGTAACCCCAAAACCGCAGCCACCAAAACGCAGCCACGAAAACGCAGCCACAGAACCGCAGCCACGAAATCGTAGCCATGGCACCGTAGCCACGAAGCCGCGGCAACGAATCGTAGCCAATTTTAGCTAATAGGCAAGGTGGTTTTGGGGGTTTTCGGTGGGGCTGGTGGCTTTGAGGGATTTTCGAGAGTGAGGTGGTGGTTTTTGGGGATTTCGAGAGTGGGTGGTGGTTTTTGGGGATTTCGAGAGTGGATGGGCTGGTGGTTTTTGGGGATTTCGAGAGTGGGGGCCGGTGGTTTTTGGGGTTTGGCTGGTGGCGTGGGAGATTCAGGGACGGGATGGTGGTTTGGCTCGGAGTGGCGACTCAAGTGGTGGGTGAGGTCCGGTGGTCTGGCGAGGGAGGTGGCCGAGCTAGGGGTTGTCGGATTGGATGGGTGGTTGGGGCTTTGGCTGGTGGTTTTTTTTTTAACTTTGGTTTTTTTTAACCAATTAAATTGTGACATGTGTCACCTTAACCAAAAAAAGAAAAAAAAAAACCCATTCAACCGATCACCGGTTTTCGGGATTGATGAAAAAGAAAACCCCCCAAAGTTCGGATTATTCCACAATAATCGAAAGCTGGGATTATTCTACCTAAATTGATGAAAGTTGGGATTATTTTTTCTAATTTTTCCTATATATTTTCAAAATACCAAATATTCATAATTTTTGCTTATCGGTAATTAAAGATATAAATGGTTGAAGTTGTGTCTTGACAAACGTGACTAAGGAAACGTATCAACTAAAAATAAAAGGAGGAAGTACCTTTTAGTTATGAGGGTTGTACTTTTCCTTCGGTCGTCCATCTTGCGGGGGTGTATAAAGGATGATGATTTCTTATCATTATTTATTACTCTTTTTAGGACTTGTTCTCTTCAACTTATTTAAGATAATTATTACTTATTCCTTAATAATTCAGATCAATCAAACCAGATAAGAAAGATTCAGATCGGACTAGATAAGAACTTTTGATTATCATTTATTTATCGTTGATTGCGTATAATTTTTTTTTATAAAAGTTCATGATGATACGAATCTAATAAGATCCCTTTTGATAATGTTTTTCTTTATAGATTAGTATTAAAACGCGGTCAAAATTTAGGGCATGTTCTCATTGACTGAACTGAGCTGAACTGAACTGAATTGAACTGAATTTCAACGTATGAGAACATGCCCTTAGTCAAATTGTTAAATCAGATCAAACCAGACTAGATCATAAAAATTCAGATCACACCTTAAAAAATTCATATTAGATCTACTTATTTCAGGTGAAGAGAACAAGCCCTTAGTTTATTTTGTAATCCTTGATTTACTCACGTAGGTTGATAGTTAAAGATATCCCTTATTCTTATTAGTTGATGTATTTAGACAAATACTCTAATGTGTCTATCTAGTCACAATCTAATGCTTCCTTATGTACTATAAATACTCTATCAGTGAACTAATTTAGAACGATGTAACATTAAGTTACAACGCAAAATCAAACTCATTTCCAAATAGGTAGGGTGCATGATGACTTGTGCACCATTCTCGCCAACATATTAGAAGAACAAATTATAATTAAACTGATCACATTCACAATTTCACATTCACCCAAAACATTGGCAAGAGCCTATGGCTGTTCATGGTTGTCCCGGATTAATGATGTGATTTGCACATTCTAGCTCGGTGTTAGCAATGTAATAATGCCATTTTTTCATGATGTGATCTCAAATCAAAAATATAAAAAGGGTTATGTAGTGTGACATAAAGTGTAACAGAATCACTGAATCACTAACCAAAAGGGTTAAACTAATTATGAAGTTGTGGGTCAAGGAAGCATATATATTGGGATATCTGTTGCCCAGATTTTGTTTTACTAACAAAATCATTTAATCTAATCGTAGATTATTAATGGACCCACTAAAGTTTGGCATATCATTTCACGTCTTCTTCTATAAGTTCGCAATTTTCTTTCTACAATGGATTGTTCCTTTGCTTTCGCATGGCATTGTATAGTTCTATTTATTTTTACTTATTTCAGAAAAAATAAGTTCTGATCAAATTTGAAAAAAAAAAGTTTAGATTAAATTATTATTTTATGTATAGTTTTTTTTATCGCTAAATATCTTTAATTTCGTAATGAAAAAAATTATGAAAAATACATATCAATAATATTACAAGTTTAACAAAACCCCACCTAATAAGGTGAACTAAATATGTCCTAAGTTTGAGTAGAGGAGGGAGGTAAAAGAATCCTCTACTCCCAAGCATTTTGTAGTTAGTTAGTCCTAAATAAGTCCTAAGTATTTTGTAGTTAGTGTCACAAGGCGAGTTCTCCACCAACTCCATCAATCTTTGCTTAGTATTTTAAGTTAGTTATGTGCTTGAACTTTATACCAGTCAGTCCTTTAGCAATAAAAATGACACTGGTTGACTGAACTACAATCATACAAGGCTACAAGCAGTCAGCATGCAACCATTTGTTCGGTGAATATTCTTTGTGCTTTTGTTCAAGTGAATTTTGTACTGGTACGTAGGATCTAACCTTGGATAAAATCTTTTTCATTTTCTCTTTGGATTTTAGATAAACATGCTCTTTAATAATTATGGTGTAAGCATAATTATGGTGTAACCAATTACTAAATTTATTTATTTTCTAACTGTGGCCTTTAGGTAGGCAAATAAATGTAAACATATGAACTTTGCTTTTAAATAATCTAGCTATGTGCACTAATTTTAACCGAGGAAGTCCCAATCAATCAATTTGATAAACAAAATTTGTTTATCAAATGACAAAATGGTAAATAAAACAGCATAAATGCCTAGTCATTATGGCATTTTCGTAAATGTATCAACAACAATGAGACCCATATTTAATAAAAAATTGTAATTTTGCCATTTGATAAATAAATTTTGTTTATCATATTGATAAACTTGTACTTTTCTCATTTTAACTTTGGTACCTATCAATAACACTTTGCCATTTGGTAGTTTTAAAAACACATTTCCATTTGGCAATTTGGTTGCTTACAAAAAATTGACAGGATAATTAATTCTTTCTTCTACTACGGATTATCCGTCCCTTCATCCCTCAATGTTTACTTGCTCTATTTGTTATTCTACTTAAATTTACACGGAGTAATAGGCAGTGGCGGATCCAGGATTTCCGAGATAGTGTGTCACCATCAATTATTGATCATTTGTGAAAGTACAATTTTTTTTTTCCATGTCTTGTTCATAATTAATTTCAATCCAAAACTTATATATATAAAAAATATATATATGTATATATACATACATATATATGTATATATACATACATATATATGTATATATACATACATATATATGTATATATACATATACCAAATTGATTTCAATCCAAAAATAGGACACAAAAATTCATATCACAACCAAATACAGTACTTAAGAATTCAATTTTACAAGTCGAAAATACTACAAATAACATGTTATAAACCAATGGTACAATAAAATTATTATATTGAATTAACTTTATGATTTTTTAGTTAATTGATAAGCTTTATGGGGAAATATTAAAATTGGTTGTACAAATATAAGATATAAAAAGGGAAAAAAAATTATTAAAAAATTATACCAAAAAAAGTGAGATAACTTAAAAGACCAGTTATTAAATATAACTGGTCTCTTTAATGAAAAAAAAAGTAACGCAAAAAAATTGTGAAATGCAATAGCAGCATCAAAGAGACCTCTTATATAAATAACAGGTCTCTTTATTATATAAAAAAACACACCAAGTCTTTTGTAGCAATAGCAGCATCAAAGAGATCTCCTATATTAATAAGCGGTCTCTTTGATACTGTTTGTTGTTACCACTAGCAGCATCAAAGAGACCACCTATCTATAATAAGGGGTCTCTTTGATATCTTATTTTAAAAAAAAAATACTGTGTCACCGGACCCACTATGACTAAAGGTGGGTCCGCCCCTGGTAATAGGATAGCATCCCAAATGAAGTTTACGGGCAATATGGTTGGCACTATATCATCAAAATGGTATTATGAAACATTTAGCTTCAGGTAAACCATGTCTTTACACTAAGTTATGTCATATTTCCTATTCTAATTTATAAATAAAATATCAAAATGTAGTGAATGAAAATGTGAGAAATTAAATTAAATTAAGATAAGTGTGAATTAAGTCAAACATAGTAAAACAAATTCCATGTAATTTCATATAATGACCTAGGGCATATCTTGGACCAATTACTAGCTTTTATTCAAAATTTCAACATACAAAAGGTTTTGAGAGCACTTATAACTATTGATTTATGACAAGTTAGGTCAAGTGTCAAGTCTCTTTTAGGAGATAAATGATGTTGAAAAAAATTAATAATCTTGGGAAGAAGAACCACCAATCAATTCATTTACAAACTAAGCAAAATGAAAATGGAATATCAACAATGAGAATCAATTTAGGGGAATGGTTCATCTAATGGTGCTCTATCTACTTATTTTAGTTAACTATATTGTCTTAACTGTCTATCAAAAACCTACTATCATGTTATTGACATTCAACCAAGCATATCGATAAAAAAGATGAACTTAAAAAGGCAAAGAAAGTCTCTACATTATGTAGTTCTTATTTTCATGGTCCTTCAGTCCTAATAATTGAGGCAACCAATTTCATCTTCCCGATCTTCCACTAAGGGTACATTAATAATGGTTGTATAATGATTAATTATACTAATATTAATAACTTAAAAACTATACACGAAGTCAATTAACCAAAATCATCCAAATCCAAAACCTTATACTTAACTTAAAGATTCATTCGTAACTCAAATCTTTCTCAACAATTTCAAAATTCTTGACGACATTACTTAAGTTGGTGTTTGTAATGAGCATTAGGATTTGGGAGATTTAAAAATAAATAAATAAATTTTGAGTACCCATTGATCAACCCATGAAAACTGATTTCAAATTTTTACCAAATCATCATCTTCTACTTCTTAACCATTATTCGTAAAAATTGTTCCCGTCACTTCAATTACCCAAAAACTAGGTATCCAATTATGAAGACCCTTATATAATATCTATTCTAATATCTGACCAAATGACCTATAATTTCCCCTAACAACCCAAAAAAGACAACACATTTTTTGTAACCAACCATAATTAATTAATAAAGTTGCTAATTTTCTCACTAATCATCCTTCTTTCTATTTATAGAAACCACGCGTCAAAGAGAAGCGAGTGAGCAAGCCCTCTTCTCAAATACAAAGAATGTCTCACTCTTCTCTCTCTCAAAAACGTATATAAATTCTTCGACAGTAAAAAATCTGAATAATACACTCTTTCTCTCTCTACTTTCTCTCTCTTCACATTCTCAACCAAATTAATGCATCTTCTTCTTCTCTCTCCTCTTCCTCCCCTCATATTTCTGGAAATCGGAGCCCTAGATCCATTGTTTTTTATGCTTTAATTCAATCCTAATCATTTACCCATTTTACTCTTTTCCTAGGGTTTGATGATTTTGTTTATTTTAGCTTAATTTATTTATTTACTCTGACATTTACTGCAAGTTAGGGTTTGTTTTGTACGAATTTGACTCAGATCTTGTAGCTGAATTTTCTGGGATTTTCAATTTCAATTTCAATTCCCCCCTTTTTGGGATTATGGGTATTGAATTTTTACTGGGAATTGTGCGAAATTGCTGGGTTTTGCCCCTTTTGTAGTGTAATGGAGTGATGCGATTTTCCAGTGAAGGAGTGTTAGTGTGAAATTGGGGGTAAAATGGGTTGCATTTGTTGCAAACCATCTGCAATTGAAGATGATAGTAAGGAGAGTCCGAGGGAGCGGCTTTCGAGTAAGGCGGTATCGTCGGAGGCGAGGGTTTCATCAAGAGTAGCTTCATTGAGGAGGGAAGATCGGAATACTCATCATAGTAGTCATAGTATTAGCAGTAATGGTAATGGAGGTGATGAGAAGGTGATGTTGATTGATAAGCAGGTGAATAATGGGAGTATTCGTTTACACGGTGAGAGTTTCGAGCGAAAGAGGGAGAAACCGGAGCTTGTTATTCCTCATCATCATCCTCCGGTGATTGGGACGATTCCGAAATCGGTGTCTGTTGAAGGAGAGCAGGTTGCTGCTGGGTGGCCGACTTGGCTTGCCGCCGTTGCTGGGGAGGCTATTAAAGGATGGGTGCCACGGCGGGCGGATTCCTTTGAGAAGTTGGATAAGGTATGGTTCAATGTATCCGTTGTAATTATTGATTTGGATTGTTATGTAATTCAATTTTGGTTTTTTTTTTTGTTGATTTTGGTGCATTTAATTCAATCATGTTACTGATATAATTAGGATTTAGAATACCAAAAAAAGACAGTTTAATTGGTTTCTGATATTGTTGCTTATTGGTTATGTGTGTTAAGTTTGGACTAGAGTTGAATTTAGGTTGATATCTAGGTGAACTAATTGGTCAATTGGATTATTTTTAATTTATCTTAGAATTTATGAAGAATTGAGTAAAGCTTTACTTGGTCAATCGTAATATTTTAGCATGTCTAAGATTTTTTTTGGAAAATATGGTTTTATACTAAATTATAGGAAACGTCCTATTTTACAGGCTGCTTTCAAGTTTCTTCTTGATCTTTTGTTTGTTTATGTATTTATTATTAAATAAATGCGTCTGCATTGTGGAGAATTGGTCAGAAAGATTAAAAAGTATTGTTGAAATATCTGAATTCTACGAAGCATGTACTACTACGAACACATCATTAGAAATACTTGACGTGTTGAATTTTGACTATCAGTGAGCACTTGAGCCACTTCTTCAGCGACCCTGTAGGAATATATTGTGGGTTGTGAGTATGCTTTTGAAGTTGTTAGATCTCTACTCTCCCAGTTTAGATGAAATCACATGCTTGAGTATAAAACTGTCTTACTGGACAAAGGCTAGATAATTTATCTTTGCGAATGGTGTTGATGGATGGTCTTATGACTTGCTTCCTAATGACCACTTGGATACATATTTTACTGGTTCCTTTTTGGTTTACAGGCTTATATATTTATTTCTGTGGCTTACACAGTTACTTAAGTGCTTGTTTTGTTTGTGTAGGAATTTAATTCCTATAGGAAGTTCTATATTATGGGAATTAATTTCCCGTTTGTAATTTATGGGAGTTGCCAAGACTAAGTTTGGTTGACATTAGGGAAAGTATAATTTCCATGAATTGGCATAGGAATTTTAATTAACCAAGGGGAGGCTAGGTAAATTATTTCCCATGATTTGTCGAAATTGCAAATTCCCCAGAATCTTAACTCCCCCCGGGCCCCCATTTTCTTTACTTTTGGTCAACCAAACACCATGTCAAAACTCTAATTCATTTAAAGATAAAATTCCTACATTTGTTCCCGCGTACCAAACAATACAAAGATTTAGGTGGAGGAATTAGTGACTCATATTTTCCCTCTCATATTGTGGACTGGTTTTGATGAAAAAGTACAGTCTCTGCATTCACTTTTTGTCAGGGTTCTAATTTTCATTGATAAATGCTCAACAGTTCCAAGCATGATTGATCATTATGTATCTTTTTTAAATTGATAACCTGATATGATTAGTATGGCCTGGTTTATTTAGGCATATTTCCTTACTCTTTGTCAATTTGTGTCATTTCTTCTCAGATTGGGCAGGGCACCTACAGTAATGTCTATAGAGCTCGAGATCTTGAAAAAAGGAAAATTGTTGCTTTGAAGAAAGTAAGATTCGACAACTTGGAGCCTGAAAGTGTTCGTTTCATGGCAAGAGAGATCCATATTCTTCGTAGATTAGACCATCCTAATATAATAAAACTGGAGGGTCTTGTTACTTCAAGGATGTCTTGCAGCTTATACCTTGTGTTTGAGTACATGGAGCATGACCTTGCAGGGCTTGCTTCTCATCCAGCTGTAAAGTTCACTGAACCACAGGTATATAGTCTTTAGTTTCTTTATCTTTGCATTCTAATTCCTCAGTTTGTCCTTGTAGCATTTACCATGTAAGAAAGCCTAATTAATGAAAACAAAATTGTTTCTAATTATTTGAGATTTTTGATTCTTTCCTCCTGCATGGTGTTTCAATCTTCTAACCGGCATATATATGTACAGGTTAAGTGCTATATGAAACAGCTGTTATGTGGACTTGAACACTGTCATAGCAGGGGAGTTTTACATCGGGATATTAAGGGATCTAATCTTTTAATTGATAACAATGGGATACTGAAGATTGCAGACTTTGGTCTGGCAAGCTTTTATGACCCCCGTCAAACTCAGCCTCTGACAAGCAGAGTTGTAACACTTTGGTATCGTCCTCCTGAGCTTTTACTTGGTGCAACTTATTATGGTACATCTGTGGACTTGTGGAGTGCTGGTTGCATACTTGCTGAACTCTATGCTGGCAAGCCAGTAATGCCTGGACGAACAGAGGTATTTGGTTTATTTCTTTCTCAAGGATATAAAATTGAATAAATGTGCACTTTAGATGCAGTTGGCACTGTTAGGTCTGTACTTTCTGGCTTCTGTGTAGTTATTTTTGTGAAAGATTGGGTAAGTTAACAGTTATATATAAAGTTGGATGAGGGGTTGTCATCTTCTTGCATGCGTCTTATGCTTGAAGATAAGCTAAATTTGAAATTTGGAGGGAGTAGTATCCAATAATTAAAATCATTTTTTTTTAGAAGTACATAGGTACGTTTTGGAGATTTTGTTGTAGCATTTAATTTCCATGCTGAATATTTTGACAGTGGAATATCCGATCAGGACCAACCTTGGTTCTTGTGAAAAATGGTTTGATGCCCTATCTCTGGCTATGTTTTATAGGTGGAACAATTACACAAAATTTTTAAGCTTTGTGGCTCACCTTCTGAAGATTATTGGAAAAAATCGAAGTTACCTCATGCAACAATCTTCAAACCCCAACAACCATACATTCGTCGTGTTGCGGATACATTTAAAGACTTTCCTGCTCCAGCTCTAAGCCTTTTGGAAATTCTACTTTCAGTTGATCCTGCTGACCGTGGCTCTGCATCTTCGGCCTTAAAGAGTGAGGTAGAGTTTTGTTAACTACTAGTATCTGTAGAAATTAAGGACTGTTCCACATTGAATCAAGTAGTATTCATTTTTCGATGTTTTTTGTATTCTGATGGGAAGTTATGGAATGTTACACGGAATAATCACTTTTGCTTGATGTAGCTGACCCCACTTATGGGATTAAGGCTTTGATTGATTGATTGATGGGAAGTTAGAGCTTTTGATATTCAAGCTCATTTCAACTTTAAATTCTTTGACACCTTTACTTCCTTAGAATATTTGGCATTTGGCTATATTCTTGGTTTCCAAACCATTTTTTAGATTTTTATGTATCAGATATTTATACATAATAATTTTAATTTCATCATTAAGCTGTAGCTTGTGATAAGGTTGCCAAACGGCTAAACCTTCACTAAGCGACTTAAAGACTCGCCTTGATGGGGTATCAACTGATTTCTTTGAATTTCATCTTCATTTTCTAGAAAGTATTGCATTATTTGATGTTCTGATAGATGTGTTCTAGCATAAGATTCAGTTATTGAAGATAGCTTTTATCTCTCTTGCATCTTCCCTTCATTCCTACCTCTCTTTTTTCCCCTCGTATCCTGATTTATGTGTTACTTAATTTTTTTTTTTTTGAGGGAAATATGTGTTACTTATTTAGTTTAACGTTATGAATTAACTGACGTTTTTGGAGAGTATTATATTTTTGTGTTGATCCCCATCCTTAATTTGTGTATCGTGAACATTTTTAGTTTTTTTTTTCCAAGCTGCGTCCTGTGCTTAATAGTGTATTTTTTATTCTTCAGTTCTTCTTTACGAAACCACTTCCCTGTGATCCATCAAGCTTGCCGAAATATCCTCCAAGCAAAGAGTTTGATGCAAAAATGAGAGATGAGGAGGCTAGAAGGTGATTTTTTTCATATATTTTTTTAAAATGTTGGCATTTCTAATTAGCTTTGGCTCTGAAGGTTCCTATACTGAAAATAAGTGTTCTAATGAGAATGCAATGAACAGAGCAATGACTTTAAGACAGATAGTCATCCCGGATTTGACATCTACTTGCAATCTAGAAATTATAGTCCCTTTTTGATCAACATGAATGACAGAAGTTGGACAAGTATTCTAAAATTTGAATGTAGTGAGACATTTTTCTTTATGGCAGCATTGGTGTCCTAATACTATTTTTGAGGAACAATTGGTTTACCTATAATTCTGTTTCCACAATCTTCAAGGACAACACTAGAGTGTAGTTTAAGGTTTATTTATAGTATGCAGAAAGAAGACATGTCAGCACACTCTTTATACCATCCCCACATCATCTTGTAATCTGAACTGTATGGTTTCATTTCTGTTTCCACAATCTTCAATGCAACTGAACTGTAGGCTGATCTATAACGTACTGAAAGTAGACATATCAACTTCCTGGTTTTCTACCACCCCTCTCCCCTCCGGCCCTTTTTGAGAAATGAGAACTTACGAATTTGTGCATGCATGCAGACAAGGAGCTGCTGGAAGCAGGGCTCATAGGGGTGACCCTGAAAAGAGGGGAACAAGAGAGTCCCGAGCCATTCCCGCACCGGATGCCAATGCTGAATTAGCTGTGTCCATGCAGGTACCTTTCTATTCCATTTTTTTTAATGAATTTTTTTGGGTGTTTTTTGCTGCTTCCTGCAGCAGTAGCAGTCCACATATTGAGATTGGCTAAGGGATTCTTAGTAGGTGTATTTCTCTTTGAATATACTGTGGTTAAGTTCTCCATAACTTATTCTGGCTTATATCTTGAGCTCATTATGAGTTTATGACTTATTCAGGCACTTTGCATGAGCCATAGCCGTGGTGTATCTGTCTAAAATGTGATAAATACTTCCTCTATTCCACAAATATTGCAACAATTAACCATTTTAGGAAGTTTCACAAATATGCAAAAATTCCTTATTTGCACATGTTTTCTCTCTTTTTCTCTCATCACATGGGTCCCTATTTTATTCCTCTCTATCTCTCTCCTCTTTGTAAAATCTATGCCCCATCCTGCAATATTTGGGGACAGAGGAAGTATTTATTTTAACATTTTCATTTATTTTGGCCTTTCTAGACTGGTTATGAGTAAGACTATCAATTCTGGATTCTATAGGCTCTACCTCACTTGGGTTATATGGGGTTGATGATGTTGTTGTTGGGATGGCAAGGAAATGTAACAGTATAGTTTTATATAGGAAGGGATTTTAATATGCATGCAGTCGCTTCTGGAATCCACCAAAAGATGACATGGCTTGAGAGCCTATTCTAACCTGACCTCACCTAGAATTTTAGATTTTCATTACAATCTCAATATTCAACCTGAATTATTATTTGAGTCGGAATTTTGAATGAATGGAGGAAAATTAAGTAAAAGAATGTTTTTGTTAGAAACCCCTGTTTTGCAAGTTTGTCCATTCAGGATGAGTTATGAGTTACAACTTGTGCAACAGATTTTGACATTATCTCATGATCTTATTTGTAATTATTTCAGTGGTGGATTACTGTTATAACATATTAGTTACCATTTGATTTAATGATTTCAATGGAAGTTAGATAGTTGGAGCAGAATAGGATGGTTAATTTCTGTGCAAAATGGTAATAGCTAACAATTGCCCAAATCTCAAGAAGTCCTGCTTGCAATCATTGGTTGTAATTTGTGGCCTTGAAGTTAGCATTTATTGGGTTAGGGAGGCCACATCATGCTGTTGGGTTATATATTCTTGGCCTGAATATCTCGATTTGGACTGGCCATGGATCAGAGGCACGTTAGGGGTGATTAAACTCTGCAAAATGTCAAGCCTATAAATGGCTCTGATCTTAAGTAGTCCTGCTTCCAATTATTGATCGTAATGCTTGGCCTTGAACTTAGCATTGATTAGGTTAGGGCAGGCCCCATCATGTTGTTGGGTCAGATATATTATTGGCCTGGGGTAGTGGAGTATTAGAGATTTGTACTGGCCATGGGTTGGGCTTTTACTTAATTACGTATTTATGTTTCGAGTGAGCTGAGGTGTGTAATATTTAAAATCTATTAGAAAAATAAACTTTTAAAGGCAATATGGGTCTTTTTGTGCCTTGGGTTTGCTTCAGTAGGCCTCATTGAAATGAGACATCAATTAACTTATACTAAAAGCGAACCTAAAGTGACACTTGTCACGATGTTATAAAAAAATTTCCTGCCTTTTTATCTTTCCTTTTTTTTTTTTTTTTTTTTTTTTTTTGCCAAATTTTAATGACTTCCATTTTATAACCTACCATAATACTTATTTCCATTTTGACAACACATTTAATCCAATCATACTCAATTTAAATTTTTTTTATTATTTTTCAACATATATTTTATATACTATAAATCTTTTAGTTACAAATATACTAACATAGTTTTAAATTAAGGTATTGACATATATCATCATCCAAGATTATCATAATATTATTTTTTTTCCTCCGACTTAAAATTTATTTTAATTAAAAATAGGAATAATAATTTTGGTAGGATACTTTGTATAAATCTTACAAATATACTTAACGTTTATAAGAACAACTGAACAAAATCATTTTATTATATTATGTTCCTCTGTTTTTTTATAAGTTATGACCGACTTATGGTTGAATTTGCACATTTGTTGAGACACAACTTTGACCATCAATATCTTTAATTTTTTTTTTTTTTTTTTTTTTTTTTTTTGGAATAGCATCAATATCTTTAATTAGAGACTATTATATTATTTTGTTACAAATATTTTTTTTTTTGGATAAATTTGTTGAATTAACACCATTTTTTATAAATTTTGTTGTAAAGTTTAATTATGATCGTGCATGGCACGGGATTTAACCTAGTACTATACATTAAAATTCAAAATAATTGACTGATGTGCCCCTTCTGTTCCTCTTTTGTGCCTCAAGTGTACTTTAAATGTGTTTAGCCTAGATCTGAAAAAGAGCTCACCCCTATTGCCTAGGTGTGCTTTTGCATACACCGGTAGTGATATTACAAGAAGGGAGGGAATGGGCAATTTTGGGGTAATAGAGTGCTCTACTATTGTCTGACCTTCAATAAGAGGGTGAAATATCCCCCTAATTATTCCCTCCTTGCGCAATCAATACCTCATCTATTCTACCTCCACCTGTATCGACTTTCATTCGTTGTGTTTTAAATTTTATTATCATCTTTGATACTTTATGCTCCAATCCAAGTAAAGCCGTAAGGATAGGTTCATGCTATTGGATGCAACTCAATACCTAAGAGTGATATTTTTCACAATATGGTTTGGTTCTTAGTTTTAAAAAGCGCAAGGCTCTGGGAAAAGCGCAAGGCTCTTGGATGTTGCAAAAGCAGATCAAGTGGTTTAATAATTCCCTCCAAACTTTGGTTGTGTTTATAATTGTTGAAGGGTGGATGGTTATGCCTAACATGGAAGGATATTTAGTTTAGGGACCATTCCCTATCATTGTGAGTTCAGTTATATTTCTTGAAAACAAGAATCAAAGTTGAACTGTAAATTAAAAACTGGAAAGTGGAAACCCGAAGTGATACTGAATAGATCAGGAAGTACTTATCCTATATTTTGATTTGCCAGAATAGCTGACATGCCTTAGATATTTTTCTGAGTAATGTCGTGTCATGTCCCTTTGCTGACAGTTGTAAAATATATTCTGTTTCCCTTCACCATGTTCCTCCATTGCTGATTAAGTATTTTTGTGCCAAAAAAATTCTTAAATCACCATTTACTAGATTATATATTTCTTCTACTTTCTCTACCTTCCATTTCTTGGACTTTGTTTCTGTACTCATGTATATGCTGCTTTCAGAAGAGGCAGGCTCAATCCAATTCAAAGAGTCGAAGTGAGAAGTTTAATCCTCACCAAGAGGAGGTTGCTTCTGGCTTTCCAATCGAACCCCCTAGAGCATCTCAAGCAGCAGAAGATTCTGGTATAAGCAGGCATGGGCTCCATCATAAGAGAGCATCGCATTCAGGACCACTTGTTAACCCTGCAGCATGGGTGAAGGCTGGGAAGAACTTGGACGATGCTTCCAATGTGTCTAATGGGGCTGATACATCAACGTTTTCTGGTCCAATGACAGCGAGGAGGAGCTTCTTATCTGAGGACAAGAGAGAAAAGTCTAGTTCTCTGCGATCTGGTGCTCCAAAACTAGTAGCGAGGTTCCCTGGATCGTTTAAAGAATCGTCAGAGTCTATGAAGAGGCGAGATCAAGCAGATCAAGGGCAGGGTCTTGCAAGTTCTCATCAAAACGAAGATGGAAGAAGTAGCAATAATGATCCTGTGCTTGTAAGTTCTTTCTTTCATCTGTTCTTTTAGCCATACTTATCTTAATATATCATCCGTTCCAAATTAAATGATACATTTATTATCACATTAGCCAATGCATAATTTCAGTCATAATAAATATCTCTGTTTATCAACAAGTAAAAATTATAAACATTGTGTTTTGAAAATACACATTGAGAGAAATCTAAGAAGTTTCTATATAACTGTTTCTTCTTATTTATAAATTACAAAAATTAGTTGAAGTAGAGTTTGTGAATAGTGTTGAAAGTCATAATGTGTTGAGTAATTTGAAATGGAGGGAATTATTAAACCACTTGATCTGCTTTTGCAACATCCTAAAACCATGTACCCTTGGTTCAAGTAAAACTTGAGTAGGCATCCTCAATTTATATCTTTTTATTTTTTTTTATTTTATTTATTTTATTTTTTTTTAAAAATTAAATTTAATTAAATTAATATATTTTTTATTTATTTATTTTTGTCTATGTTTTTCAACTAGTAGTTGCAAAATCAATAACTAGGATCAGCTTCTTTTCTTTTTCAATCCTGTGCCCCTAAACTTTTGTGTTGTTTACACTATTATTTAGCTTGGCTACGGGTCAAAGGGCAGCAAAATTCACTACTCAGGACCTCTAATAGTCCCTTCAAGCAACATGGATCAGATGTTGAAAGATCATGATCGCCATATTCAAGAAGCTGTAAGGAGAGCACGAATTGACAAGGCTAAACTCAGAAAGATGCAGGCTGAAGGAAAGCAGGTATCGTCCACTTCATTGTTTGTTGCTGGCCGTTGAAGCAGAGTAGATAAAATCAATGTAAAGATTTAGAGCACAAATTTGGCTAGAAAGAGATTGCCGCAGAAAGCTGAAATCTGTGATTTTTGGCTTCTGGAGTAACGAGTCAAGTTTCATTTTAGGAGAAATCCATTTTTTTTTTTTTTCCTTGTACAGTTTTAACTTACCCAGTTAAGTTGGCTAATATAGCCGTTTTGCTGCCAAGCTTGTGGCTCCTCCAATTAATTTACAGCTCACATGTAATCAGCTATTTATCTGCAAATACTGTATCAATACATGACATTCTTGTAGTGTTAATTCTCTTCAGAAATATTAGCATACTTAGCAGTCAATTAAGATAATTTATAGAATCATCTTAGTGGCGAGTATAGATGCATCTGTATGCTTCTCTACCGCCTCAGCAGCTGCAGATGACAAATTTTGGTTGTAGTACTGCCTCAGCAGCTTATTAGGGTTCGCTTCGAGTAACTCAAAAGATCATGTCAACTATGTTGGAGCGTCTTACTAGTTTAGATCCTATGTCATGCACGGTTATTATAAAAATTATTCTTTATCAGTCTGACAACATTGAAAACATCTTACTCCTATATCACTTAACTTTAGTGTTATGAAATTATTACGGAGAACCTTTATTTATTTATAGTTGTGTTAAAAGATGTGTAGTATAAATAGTTTATTTTAAGTAATTACTATATTAACAAAACAAATTAAGGACACACTAGGAGATGATACGTGTATTGTTGTGGCGTCTTTAGTACTTCGTATATAGTTATTAATGATTGATCAATACTTTAATGAGCAAACAAAAGGGGATGCAGAGTATAAATCTGTCAACATTGACATGCAAGTTTGCAATGCATAACCTGAATCATTAAAACTTTTAACTATCTTAAACCACAAACTTTACTTCATAGTTTGTATTAAATTATGTTGAGACAAACCCGAAAATAATTTACAGAGTACATGATTTTATATGTTTGTATCGGGTTTTGAGAACATGTCCAAAGTCAAAGTGAAACAACTAGAAACAAACCGAGGGTTAGAGGGAGTACAAACAAGAATCAAAGAGGTGGCTGAAGAGTTTACTAAATGGTGTAGGGCCACTAAGATCCTCAATTAGACCCTTAAAAATTGGTGATTCCATACTGTTTCAAAATAATATTCTCAATTAGTCTTCATTTTTCAAGGCCTCTATATAAAAATGGCAATTTGGCAATATAAAACGATTGAACTATTCTTAAAAATACAATCAATGTATCAAATTCATGCTTTACAAAGAAAGACATGGGAAATAGTCATTTAATTAGTAGGTTGCACGTAGCATGCATTATATGCATGGACTTAATCTACCTTATAACATTACAATAAAACCATAACTTTGATAAATGTCCTCTATAAATGATTTTCATTTCCAATTTCTTTTCCCATTCATTTATATACTCATAACTAGACCGTTTCAGGAAGGAGGTGAAGGTGATAGATAAGTAGTCATGAGGAGGAACAATTCGTCGATGGCCTTGTTAGCCCTCGGGCTCATTGTCATGACCCTGGCCGGCCAGTGTTACGGTCAGTTGGTCGTTGGTTTTTACAATGGCCAGTGTGGTGATATTAAGGTTGAGGAGTTTATCCGTGGGAAAGTGCAATCGGCTTTCCTGAGTGATAAAACCCTAGCAGCTGCCATGCTTCGTATGCTCTTCCATGATTGCTTTGTTAGGGTATACTCCAATGCCCCTTCTTGATTCATTTAGTATTCATCTAGATTTATGATTAAAATGTACTTGTTTGTTTGAATTATTTTCGAAGTTATGAGTAACCGATTGTTTAGAAAGGTGTAAATAACAAAATAAAAATGACTTAGTAGGCATCTTCAGTTTACCTTCGGAAAGAAAAGGTTAAATAAGTTTTAAAAAGTTCATGCATGTATGTTCATCTTAAATTCCTATCATTTTTTTTTTATTTTGTTGTTGTTGTTGTTGAGAATTGGGGCACAACGTTGATTACATAAATTAAAGTTAAGACATGAATACCAATTATATATAATTATCAAACATAGTTAAGTTTTAGGTATTAAAGTTAGATTTGTATAAAATTTGCATAACCAAGAAAAAATTTATATCTTTTATTGTATTCTAACTTTGTAGTTAAACAGGATTAAACAGGGTTTAATTTCTCCTATCATCTAATGCTTGAATGCTTGATGGTCTATTAGTTGGTTACTTCTATATTTTGTAACTTAACAGCTAATATATTTTCGATGTTAATCATGTTTTGAATAGGGATGTGATGCATCACTTCTACTCGACGGAGAAAACACTGAGAAGACTGCAGGGCCAAATAGATCAGTTAGAGGTTATGAACTCATTGATGATATTAAGAGAGACGTAGAGAATGTTTGCCCTAACAAGGTTTCTTGTGCTGATATTATTGTTATAGTGACAAGAGCAACCGTTGAATTGGTACGTAAATTTAATGTTTTTGCTTAATTAATAAATTAATTTGTTTCTAATTTGATGCCATTGAGCTATTACGAATTTATGATAGAATGTACAAGCTAGGTATCACTAGTTCACTACCATATCGATATGAAAAAAGATCATATATAACTTATTTTGATAAATCGTAAAAAAGGTAGTTGTAGTTATTAACAATATACGAAAAATACTTACATTAACAAATTAGGTGCTAAAGTTAAAGATAGAATACAAGTAGTTTCAAAGAAAAAAACATTAAATTTATTTGACGAATACAAGTGTCAAATAGGCCTGTTTTTTTTTTTTTTTTTTTTTTTTTTTTTTTTTGTTGTCATTACTTTATGAGAAACTGTCTCACATTAAGTACTATTATTATTTATACACGTATAAAAATTATATAGGCAAGTTCCGGCGCAATCGCATACAATAAAGTTGAAACAGGGAGACGTGACGGTGAAACCTCTCTAGCTAGCGATGCCATGAGCTTACCTCCTCCAAATGTGCCCGTTTCTCAAGCCATAACAACATTTGGTGCCAAGGGATTCACTCCTGAAGACTTTGTCCTCCTTTTGGGTAAATCATATAAACGAATAGCCCTAAATATATACCGCGTATTAAATTTTATTATTTGAACTATGTTTTTGTTAACGTGCACACACTATATTGTTTCTACTAATTACCATTTATCAATGTACATATATAGGTGCACATACGGTTGGAAAAGCACAGTGCGTTAATTTTCAAGACCGTATGTACAACTTCAACGGCAAAGCAGGACGATCAGACCCTAGAATCGATAGCACTTTTCTAAACGTTTTAAAAAATACTTGTCCCGAAAATGGGATGAAGACCAACCTTGTCGATCTAGATCAAATTTCTCCAAATGAAGTAGACAAAAAGTTCTACGATTCGATCATAAAAAATCTTGGAGTCCTCCAAATTGATCAAGACATTGCTTATGATAGAGCAACTCGCAGAATTGTGGAAGATTTAGCAGCTAACAAAATTGATTTTAATGTTAAATTTGCATTGGCATTGGATAAATTGGCTAGGCTTAATGTTCTTACCGGATTACATGGACAAATTAGGACAACTTGTCGCATGGTTAACAAGGGTATAATTGGTTAAGTCATCTAAAATTTTGGATAGACTTTATTACAAAGTAATTAAAATCCAAATTAAATAATTTGGATTTTGTGATGATCATTCATTATTTTTATTATGGTGTTAATCTACATTTATTTTGAAGGGAATTATGATTTCTCGTACCTAAGAGGCAAGGTACATTTTGTACTTTATGGGTTACAAGTATAACAAATTGAATTGAATTGAAACGAAGTTTATTACTCTTGAAAAATTTTAAGCTACCCTTTGTCATGAGATTGATGCATAATATATATGTTGGGGCATGCGTGATGCACTATTAATGAAGAGACGAGGGAGGGAGTCATGACTTCTGAGCTTGCGTTGAGGATGAAGGGTGTATCCCACTGTATACATAATGAATCTGTCTCACCTAATACTTTTACTAGATTCCTAACATCCATTTAACAACCGACTATACCATACACATGATACAACTTCACTATCATGTTCTTCTCATATGCTCGATCACTTAAATTCTCCAAGATGAACAAATTAATTAGTAAAAAAAAAAAAATTAACTTTCGTTATGTACTAGTTCTACTTTCACATTAAAAAGTTTTAATACATATAAAAGCGAGATTAAATTCTTCAAATGGGAACAAACAAAAGCGTGATATCTTTTGTCAACCTTCCAAGCTATCATAATTTGCTAAGTCCATCATATGCCTTTAGATGTTTTTTTTTTGACAACAGCAAAACACAAGAAACTAAGAAACAAAAGAAGAGAAATTAATTCTACAGTCATTAGCTATAACGTGAGCCTGAGCCACTTGGTCCCTACTAACCTTCCATATAACACAAGTCCTAATATTCGCAGCCATCATCTGGATGTCCCGGATAGTCCACAAAATACTGATATCCGCTGCTAGCTGATTACCTAGAGTTTTAACCAGAATAGAAGAATCAGAGAACAGGAAAACCCTAGGGAACCCCTTCGAAACAACCCATCGTAAGGCCATTAAGCAGGCAAGAGCCTCCGCATGCAAAGCCGAAACTGCCTTGCAGAAGTGCCCTCCACCATCCTCAAAGATGTTACCATCTGAAGAAAAAGCCCATCCTAATAACCCTGCATTGCCATTGTTCTTCGTCCATGAACCATCAACAAGAACTGTCACCCCCTGCGTTGTAATTGGCGAGTGGAGGATAGTATAGTCCTCTATACCCACAGAAGTATAAAGAAACCCCGATGGACGAGTATCCGCAGGAGTCATCACATCATCTATTCTTTGAGGTCACCTACCCTTTTTCTCCCGGAATGTCTCCAGCTCCTGCACTACTCTGTTCATATGATGGAGCCACACCTCCCCGTCACCATCTTCCCCTCTAAAGACCCGACCATTTCTAGTTATCCATAAGAACCATAGAGTCACTATCATTTTAATGATCCTATCGCTATGAATGCCATCCTCGCTATAGAAGAGCAGGATATATGTCTGAATCCATTGTCGCACAGGAGTAGATTCAGCAAGATTCAAGTTGAGATTAATGGAACAACTATCCCACGCATACCGTGCCACTGCACACTCTCTAAAAAGATGTTGGAAATCTTCTTCCACCTTTCCGCACAAGTCACACCCTAACTGCACTGGAATACCCCTATGATGGAGATTAGCCTTGACTGCCAAACCATTCAGAAATAACTTCCAGAGAAAAAGGCCCCACTTGGGAGGAATATTAAGACGCCACAAAATCTTCCACACCTCCTTATATCTGCTATGATAAGATTCCACATCTCTTAAGCCTTGAAGGAAAGCATATCATGTCTTAGTCGTATATCTCCCTGATTTATGGTGTGGTCAGTAAAGTAGATCTTCATCCTGGTTACCAGACAGTTCCATGCCCAAGATTTCCTTCGCACTTTCCCATTCAAACCTTTTCCTCACCAGGGGAATATTCCACCTCCTGGGATCATTGAGCAAAAACTCACTAACGACTCCTGCCCCCACCCCTCTTAACGGTTGGCTGGAGGCCATAATGGGCACCTTACCATTCACCCATTTCATATTCGCCGACTTGATCCTATCACCTAAACCCACTTTCCAAGCAAAACCTTCAATTAGAGTGTTGGAAACAGAGAAAATACCCCTTCTTCCCCACGATGGAGAGAGGCCTAACTTTGATCCTTTACGACCAGTAGTAAGCGGACTCTCCTCCCTTTGGTACAACACCCTAGAGGCCAGAAGCTGGGGATTGCAGTGCATTCTCTGAACTTGTTTGAAAAGCATAGCCTCATTTAGCGTGCCCATTGCTCTAATCCCCAGGCCCCCCATCCCCTTTGGGAGATGCAGAATATCCTTCTTAACCCAATGCATCCCTTTCTCCTTGTTCGAAGCCCAGAAGAATCTAGCAATGATGGAGTCGATCGCATTTGTCGTGGAGGTCGGTAATTTGAAACATTTCATCACGTGGGAGGATATACTTATGAGGACAGAGTTGATCAGGACAAGCTTAGCCGACTGTGAAAGCCTAAGCGAGCTCCAATGTAAAATTCTGTTGGCCACTTTATCCACCAAGAAACGAAAGTTATCCGCCCTTCTACTAGTGAAATCCATAGGGGATCCCAAATGAGAACCCAAATTATCCTTCTGGTCCATTTTCAAAATATCTTTGAAAATTTGCCTGTCTGAAGTTGACGTAGAAGGACTGAAGCGAATGAAAGATTTCTGAAAATTAAGCTGTTGGCCTGAGACCTTTTCAAACCTCCTTAGAAGATCAGCTAAATACCCACACGAAGAGGTCGTGGCTTTAAAGAAAAACATCGCATCATCTGCAAAGAACAAATGAGAGATGGAAGGAGAACGACTCGTAACTTTTATCCCCTTAATCAGGTCAATATCTTCCGCTAGGAGGAGCATCCTAGACAGAATATCCATGCAGAAAAGAAAAAGATACGGGGAAAGAGGATCCCCCTGACGAAGACCACACTCGGGCTTAAAAGATTCCATAACCCTTCCGTTCACTAGAGACTTGTAAGAGACAGTAGTAATGCATTGTTCAACCCATTGAACCCACTTCTCAGGGAAACCATAAGCCTTGAGAATTTTGAGGATAAAAGTCCAGTTAACTCGGTCATAGGCCTTAGACATATCAATCTTCAAGGCGGCCATAGGAGCCTTAATTCGCGTGCTAGAAATAACATGAGTCAACTCGGACTTTAGATGTTTCTAAGTATCAAGAATACACTAATTAGATGATCAAAATTATAACCTTCTATACAAGAGACATATTATGTGTAACAAACTTGATTCTAAAAATTGCGGAAAAACTTAAAGGGGTGACTTTTGTGTAATTTGAAGACAAACATATACCTGTTGTATAAACACACATAATACATTATATTGTCCCAATACAAGAGACCTAGTGACGTGCGTTGTATGATGGATTATCATTAATCAATAATGAAAGTAAGTTTAGCGGTGGGATTATTGTTTAAGTCAACTTAAGGAATTTCCATCAACATTCTGCAACGTATAATTTTTTAGCAAAGAACAAGCATTTTCTCCATCATTATAATTTATAAACATTTTATACTCTTAGATCACCTTAATCTTAGTGATTGACCACATGGATGTTCATATACAAAGTATAATGAATTTGACTTTTTTTTTCCTTATTATTTTATAAAAATAATCGATCAATTTGACTTTGGACATAATCTCACCGTCATTTAATTAATTAAATAAATTAAGTTAAAATTTATAAACATTAAAAATATATAGATTATGTTCTTAAGCTGTCTGATTTCTAATTAATAATAAGTTTTTGTAAAATGAAATACGCTTCATTTGAATCCACTGGCAGATTGACTAAAAGCTTATTAGCTTAAGCTAATCATAATAAAATAAATTAAATAGGTGGTTCTAATTAATATTGGGGGTGACGTGCGATTATTTTAATTTTGAGCGCGTTTTATTTTGTGGATTGATTAGGAACAGCTAATTTGTCTAATTTATATGGTAGGGAGTAGTAATCTAGCAAGCTAGTAGTATCAATGACTAATAAATGGTGGAAAAGACAATCAACTTACCACAAAGTATCTCAAGAATAAATGTATTTAGCCAATGTATCTAGGATTCTTGTTTCTAGGTGCACCCGATTGGTCATATTGGAAAAATTTGCTACATTGAAAATTAACCATTTACGCATGTTTGTTGCGTAAATTATTTACATGTCTACAACGGGATAAAAATTACTCTGCTACTCAAGGTATACATAACAACTTTACTAGGTAAAATCGTTACATTCTGATTGCGCTAGAATTCGTTTTCAAATTCAGTGATGACTCACGCCACACCAACTTCCTTTTAATTAAACAATTACATTATTTATTCTATCATTTGTAGCATTTGAAACATTTATTTTTACAACACCTCGTGCTAGGTAGCAACTTAAATGTTTGGAATATACATCGGGAGTGATTTTGAAAATCTTATTTTAATTAGGTATAAATATTGTTGATTTACTCTATTTAAGCTTTGGATAGTGGACAGAAAAGCACCTTTCAACAAGGTTAGAAGTTCAAATATATATATATATATATATATATATATATATATATATATATATATATATATATATATATATATATATATATATCAAATAATACTATCCACTTTTTGTCTCCATCATGAACCAATTTGGGAATGAAATCTACTTATCCTTTTCTGACCAATTCGAATTTATTGATACTTTGAAAAGTGTAGCTGAAGCAGAATGTCCTGATGTTGTCTCATGTGCCGACATTATAGCAATTGCAACCAAAGAACTTATTCAATTGGTAAATTACTATCCTCATTGTTCACCTCATAATTTGATATAACTTAAGTTTATTATTACTTCGTATTTCTTTTGAATAACACTTTTAATTAATCTCACTATGATTTATCTAAATAGGGTGGTGGACCGGGTTATTCTGTACAAACAGGGCGAAAAGATGGACTCATATCTAATGCCCAAGATGTGAAACTTCCAAGCCCATTTGCAACTGTTACCGAAAGTATCTTAGCCTTTGGTGAAAAAAACTTTAACCCCGAAGAAATGTTGCTTCTTATAGGTAAATTTACATTTCTACCTTAGCTCTATTAATTTCATAATATTTATTAAATTTATAACCTTTCAATATTCAAAAGAATGTGTATACTGCCTCCGTTACTTTTTAATTGTAATAAAGGGTATTATTTGTGAGACATAAAATATTCCTTTGTTACAACTATAGTATACAGTGACATTGTTCAAGAAATTTCTTATATATGAACGTGTTATTTATTGAAACAGCTGGCGGTCACACGATTGGAAAATCACATTGTTTGTTCTTTCAAGATCGACTTTACGAAGGTACAAGCCAGTTTGATCCAAATATGGACTCGAACCTACGTGAACAACTAAGTGGTACTTGCCCCCAAGGTACAAACTCAGATAACTTCACGTTTCTTGATCAAAATCCACTAAGCTCGAGCAAATTTGACAACTCTTTCTTAGATCAACTCATGAATGGACGAGGAATCTTACCAATAGACCAAGCTTTGTCACGTGATTCTCAAACGAGTAGCTTTGTTCTACAGTATGCTCAAAATCCTGGCTTATTCAATGCTAAGTTTGCAAGTGTTATGATTAAATTACAAGCCCTTGATGTCCTCCTTGGCGATCAAGGACAAATTAGGAAAGTTTGTAGTAAAGTTTACTAAACTTGCATATTAGTATAACATGAGAAATAATAGTTGTAGACATTATTCTTTTCTCAATTCTCTTAGCACTAAGAGTATATCCCAAAATTGTTTGATTTATTTGTGAGTATATTATTTGTAAATGGGCTTCTTGATCTTTTGAGTTTCGAAACATGTATGTATAATTTATTAAGCTTTAAAATTTCATTCATTTTAATAGCCAAATAGCTTCTTATTTTGTTTTTGAATATTTTTGAACATGTATGCCGGTGAGCCATATGCATGCCAAAGAAATGTGTAGATCCTTCACTTCATAATGCTCCATGATTTTATTAGACATAAAGAAAACAAATCGACCTCTCATTCTCTCAATTAAGTGCACTATTTAGATAAAACTGTAAGCAAAAAAAAAATAAAAAAAAAATAAAAATAAAAATAAAAAATAATTGAGCAATTAAATATGGGCTGTAACCCAACATGAACCAAATTCTAAATATATGTACTCGTTTAGAGGTGTCAGAATCGATCACTCAATCTGAATTTAGATTTTGACTTATATGAAAACAATTATTTATCATAACTCAAATTTATAATAGATTCTAGCCAATCTCACCAAACCCTTTTCACCAAAAAAAAAAAAAATAAAAAAAAAAATAAATCTCACCAAACCAGACTCAAACACCCGAATTAATGCCTCTCTACCTTGTTGCATAAACCTCCTAAGGTATTAACCATATACTCTCTCCATTTTTAAATACTCTCTCTATTTTTAAATGCTTGCTCTATTTCCCTATTTGGAAAGCTTTTATAATATTTAATTCATTTCTCTCACCTAATGGACCCAACATAAATTATATTTTATTAATTTCATATTCTCTCTCCTCCAATTTCTTCACTACTTTTGCTTTTTACAATTTTTTATCCTTCCACCTACCCCACTATCTCCATATTTCATTACTTTTTTCTGATTTCTCTTAAAACTTCGTGCATAAAGAAATAGAAGAAATGGAGGAGCAAGTATTTAAAAACAGAGGGAGTATGTCACTTAAATCCAATTGTAAGTTTGTAACGTGGGAATTGAATAAAAATGTGACATACATGGTAGAGCTCATATTTTGATGAAAATAGTATAGTGCACCCGGGTGCACCATGCGCATGGTGCACCCGGAAAGAACATTAGACATATTTTGAAGAACATGGCAAAAAAAAGAATATAATAGTGTTTGAAAAAAAAACATACATGTGTTTGACAAAAGAACATGTTTGTGTTTGACAAGAACATGACAACATAAAGAACATAAAGTCTTTATAAAAAGAACATGTTATTTTTCATGGTTACTTGGGTGGTTGAACGTGTTTGAAAAAGAACATAATATTTGACAAAAAGAACATGTTTGTGTTTGACAAAGATAGAGGTGATCATTGGGCGGGCCGAGTTAAGGTTAAAAAATCGGCTCACTTCTCTAGTCGGGCTAAGTTTTGGGCCGAAGTTTTTGTGTCCAAACTCGCCCACAATGGTCCGGCGGTGTGGGCTTTTCGGGTCGAGTAAAAAAATCAACTAAAATGCATAAAAACGCATTTCCAAACCCGCCCAAAAAATTAAATTTACGGGCTGTGTCCGACCGGATTTGGGGGCGAAAAAATTCTGCCCAAAACCCGCCCAAAATAGGACCGGTCTAACTTTGATCACCTCTAGCCAAAGAACATAAAATCTTTACAAAAAGAACATGATAATACATTAAAGAACATGTTCTTTTTCCTGATTACTCGGGTGATTGATTTTTTTTTTTTTTTTTTTTAATGTACATAAATTAAAGAACATATTGTATAATGTAAAGCACATATTGTTTAAACTCAAAAAACATAATAATCAAACTTAAAGAACATATTATGCTCACGTTCTTTATAAATATCTATAATGTTCTTTTTTTCGCCCATGTTCTTTTAAATATACCTAATGTTCTTTCCGGGTGCATGGTGCACCCGGACTACCCTTTTTAAGGGCCCATGAAGGAAGAAGAAAAATAAGAAAAAATGTCATTTATTTTCTTCTTGATTTCAATTCTGGATTTTTATTAGGACTTCCACTGGTGTTCTTACTAGTTGTGACTTGTAAACCTTATAAAGTTTTAAACGCTTCAATAATTAGAACTTATCCTTGAGATGGTATTTTTTTTCCTATTATGATTAATTTCGTTGTTTATTCGTCTAGGAATGATTGAATATCTAGGATTTCATAATCACCAAAGGATCAGGAGGACCTCATGAGTATTTTCACCCAAACAACTATGCATCAGTGGATTTCAAGCCAATGTTAACTCACATATTGTATTGATTAAGATGAAGTTTTTTTTAAGGTGATTGTTGATTGAATTTGCGATGTATTTCATCTGTTCTATTAATATTGCAACAATGGACTTTTGAAACTATTCATCACTCTTGTTTGACCATATAACATGATTTATATGTTAAACAAAATATAGTCACGTGGAATCTTGTTGGATTCGTCTCACAAAATACTTTCACAATATGAGCTTTTTATAATTTTTACTCTTACAAAATTATATATAATTAGCATATGAAATTTGTTTTGGGATGCATAATCTCATCCTTGTTATATTAATATAGAACGGAGGAAGTAATGAGTTGTAAGGTGTTTCGTACTTGTATTGTTTTTCTTTACTTAGAAATTGTATGTAAGTGTAGTTTGGCTAGCTATCTTGTATGTGATGAAGTCAGTTTTCTTTTTGTAAAAAAGAAGTACATATGTGGCGGTTATCTTAGGTCCTTTTGCTTAGTTTCTAACCGTAGCATAAACAGTGGTATATACTCTGTATTTTGTAGGTGCTTTTTATTGTTATGATTTGCAAAAGTTGTTATATATACCTTAGTGCACAGTGTATTCAATGTATTTTTGTAGTTTATTTTGATGATTAAAAAGATAGTTATTGCTCATTTAACCATTAAATGAGCAAGAAATAACCATGATGTATTTTGTACCTGAGTGTACATAAAAAATTTCATATGATGTTGATCGAATAATGGTTTTAAAACCACTTATATAATTTGCTTTTATTTTTATTTTTTTTTGAGAAAAATTATTTGCTTTTATCTAAAATGCAATATAATGTGCCCCCCCTCTTTATTTTTTTTTTGGTATTTTTAAGTAAATTAATTAATCAAAACTTTTTTTGAAGACATAAAAGTATATATGTTACAAAAACAAATTAATAAGCTAAAATTAACCTCAAATTTAGGTGATTTTTTTAATGATTCTAATTTGGTATTGTTCTTGAATAATGCCAACTTTAGGGTAATAATTCCAACATTAGCCTAATACTAATGTGCATTTACATTCCACTTCTCCAACAATTGCTACCTGGATTTCCTATAGTCAAACAATAACAGCAATTGTATAATAATTTTTAGCGTTTTATTTTAATATTCCCTAATTTTCTTATCATTAATTAAATAAAAAAAATTGCAATAATGTTAAACCTTTCTAAAAGAAGCAACAGCTCAAATAACAAATACTGCACGTGTTGATCTCATGCCTTTCCCTAAAAACAAATTAACAATAATGATTAACCACATGGATGTTTAAATAATGAAGTGTTATGGATTTGACTTTTTATTTTTGTTTATTAAAATAATGAATTCGACTTCATTAGCATAACATAATAAATAAAAAATATGTTCTGTAATAACGTTATTATTGGTTGTGATTTTGTGAATAATATGATCTTAAGAAAATAAAATTAGTTTCAAATTAAAAAAAAAAAAGTTGTGAATAAATTAAATTGCTTTTTATTTGAACACAACTTGGAGATTGACTAGAAGCTTAAGCTAATCATAATTAGGTAGTTCTAAAACAAGGGGTGTCAATGCATGATTATTCAAATTTTGAGCATGTAACTAATATTTAATAAAAATAATTTCAATTTAGTGAAAAATACAAGTTCATTAGTTACGTATACTATGTTTTGTTGAACTTGAGAAAGTAATGGTGACTTTCACCTGAATATAACCCAACCTAGAGATGACCTGATTTAACCTGCTGAAATTCAAATTCAATCCAAGATATTAATGACATGATCTGAATTCAAATCAACATGTTCCATTATTATTATTATTATTATTATTATTATTATTATTTTGTTTTTTTTTCCAGTTATTATGGCATACACTTTTATGTTATGGAAATCATCTGCTTATTTGTGTCAAAACTAATATTTATTAGCTATACTACTCTTCACTCAAATAAATAATTAGAAAATAATTCTAGCAATCTATTCTTAAAAGAGAAAATATTGTATGAGTCTTGATTTATTGTGAAACAAATTATATAAGTCACTGGACATTTCAATATAAGTTTTGAACATCTCATCTTTAGAAAATTAATTAGATTTAAGTAATTAGACCTTTAGCACTTCGTATAAGTTTTTAATTTTAAAATTTCACTCAGTATAAGCTATGGACATGTTAGTTTTAGGAATTTTATGCGTTGGGTGGATGGACTCATGGTTAATGGATTAATCTTATATTTTTTGTGAAAAATATTACATAAATTTATTAAATTGATGCAAAGTGTTTTTGAATTAAGGGACATGATAATAACTCAAGTTGTACTTGAACTAACCTGACAACGGTCCGACTCATAATTGAATTGAACACAGTAATGACCTAAACCAAACTCATCCTTTACGATAATGACTCAACCCAAAATTGACCTGGACCAAATTTGACTCAAACATGTAACATGCAAAGAACATGTATCAAACCTGAACTAAATTGACTTGTGTTGCCCCTTGATGTTTTGATGATAACACACGTCAAATAAATTGATCGACTAATGCCTTATGAGTTTTGTAGTTTGTTATGACAAGTTGGAGGGATAACTTGAGGCAAAGGAACAAGAGCTAAAAGAATAAAGAGATTAGTTCCGGTGTTCCTATAAAGGAACTGAAGCTCAGAGCTGAGGCTAAGGAAAGAAGACTCGGAGAAGAGACTTCCTAGAGAAA